CACGGGCACTAGGCCTAAAATATATTTCATGAGGTATATGAATGTCTAATCACTATGTTGCACATCTGAAACTAATGCAATATAGTATGTCAACTATAATTGAAAAATAAATTTAAAATAAACATTTGAGTAAGAAAAATGAGAAATATCTCCATATACTGCTATGAAATGATCCTAGTAGTGGAGGGGAATCTGTATAATAGCCCCACTTTTCATCTAAAATGAGGAAATACAAATACATTTTCATAGTTACTTACACAAGGAATTTTAACAGAACAATATTTTTAATAGAACAATAAACAAGCAAACAAAAAGCATTTACTTTTAGGAAGAGTGAAAGAACAGGAGATGGAAACAGAGTCAGACTCTTCTGAATATGACTTATTCTGAATATTTGACTTTGGAACCATGTAAATGTTTTATATCATCATAAAACAAAATTAAATTTTAAAATTAAGCTATAAAAATTGAAAGCAAATAAAACAAACTTAGCTGTGTATTAAGTTCATGAAATACCTACACATAAATAAATTCTTTCAAGGAACTTGAAAACACAGAACTATAAACACTAAATAAATAAAATATTAAACTGTGTTCAATAACCATATTGCTAGAAACAATATTGACAGTTATTTTCAAACTATATTGATTGATAAAGCAAATGATATTTGTGTATGTAATTAGAAACCAATATTTTCAGCAAAAGATAAAAGAGATGCAAATTTTTTTAAATCAAAGAAGTTAAGTTTAGATGTGATGCTACATGTGAACTGTAAATATCAGTGAGCTCATGATGTGTTTTCTCTGAAAGAAACAAAAAGAATATACTCGCTCTGTCCACTGAAAGGACCAACCTCAAAGAGCACTTCAGATCTATACTGTGGATTTTCAACGTCCACATTAAAAAGTGTGCATTAAAATAAGTGAGTGATCTTTGGAGAAAAGTCTGATTTCAGGACAGAGGCATGAAATGTGCAAAATTAGCCAGGAGCCTCTCATCATACCAGAAAGCAAGAAGTCACTGAAGACTGAGGCAGCTGTGTCAACAGGACCCCCAAGCCAACCAGAAGAGACTCCCCCTGGCCAAAGTGGAACAATTAGAGCAGCAAAGGTCACAACAACTGCAATGGACTAAAACACATTAAGTATTTTTAAAATCCTGTGTTCATAATGATACTTTAAAAAAGATTTTATTGGTCATCCTTTGAAGATGTGAAGAAACCAATTCATGATTCTAAAAACTGGTAAAGAAACAAACACTCAATTATTTATCCTGCCACTCTTGTACAACCAAATATGGATGAGGACTATCCCTATTTTGCAACCTTTAGTCAATCAGATAGTGTGTGCATCTTGATAAAGAACATAACACCAGAATCTAATCAGGAGCCAAAGTCTAACTGCTAGTTTATAAGAAACACAGGGGAGAAAGAAACACGCTAAATAACACCACAGCATTGCAATCAGCCAAATCCAGAACGCTAAAAACTCTACAGGACAAGTGACCTAATTCAGCAAATGAATTCCAAGGAAAAAACAAGGAAGGAGGTAGAGAGGAGAGAAAGAGTTTAAAGAAACTAAAGATGACTGACAATAGGTATGGTGTTTCTTTTGGAGATGATGAAAATGTTCTAAAATTGACTGTGGTGATGGCTCCACAACTCCTGAATACTAAAACCATTTTATTTTACACTTTAAATGGATTAATTGTATTGTACATGAATTACAGTTTAATAAGTATCTGCAATAAGAGAGAGAGACGGGGAGGGAGAGAGGGAAGAAAAGAGACATATTGACCATGGATTCTCGTCAGGTTCTAATTTTAACAAATTCTTAAAGTTCCTGAGGCTATTGGATTATTTGATGACATTAAAGAATTGTGAGGGTTTTCAGGTGTGATTATGGCATTGAGAATTTTTTATTCCTTATATTTTAATAATAGAAATTGAATTATTTACAAATGAAATGGTATTTTGGATTTGCTTCAAAATAATCTAGTTGAAAGCCTGGGGGAGGCTATAGAATAAAACAAGAATGGCATCGGTTGGTAACTGTTGAAGCTGAGTAATGGATGCAGAAGTCTCATTAGACTGTTCTCTCTACTTCTGAATGAATAGAGAATTGCATTGAGAAACTTTTTAAAGATACACAAGCGCTCGGGTCTCACCCCAAGAGACTCTGGTCTCTACGGTACTGGAGAGAGCAAGTCTCATCTGCATCTCTGGACCATTTCCACAGTGATTTTCCACACTGCAGAGCAGCTGTTTTAATCCAGCACCAGGTACTATCAGTTGACATTGTATGGTACAGCATTCATCACAGAATTCCATTAGGGAAACCCCAGAAGTCACACAGCTGAGCTTTGATGGAAAAACAAAATGCTTCCCCTTGTCAGTGCTTTAGGTATTGACTGCTTCTGCACTCACTAAAAACTCCAATCCAGGCACTGAGAGAAACTGGGCAATGGCCTGCAATAAATTGTGCTGGTAGAAAGACTATTAATAAAGTTAGAGGTGATTAAATAAAGCCATATTTTACAAGCTCATAGCTAATATTATATTCAATGGTAAAAATGGTGAAAAGCTAAAATCTTTTCCTCTAATATCAGAAACAAGACAAGGATACTCACTCACACCACTTTTATTCAATACAGTAGTGGAAGTCTTGGCCATAGAAATTAGGCAAGAAAAAGAAAAGTCATCAAAATTGGAAAGGAAGAAGTAAAATATTCTATTTGCAGATGACATGGTATTATATTTAGACACCCCTAAAGACTACACACACACACACTGTTAGAACTAATAAACAAATTCAGTAAAGTTGCAGAATACAATATCAATATACAAAAATCAGTTATTTTGTATATTAATAACAAACTATCAGAACAGAAGTTGAAAAAACAATCCCATTTACAATGACATCAAAAGAATAAAATACTTAAGAACAAATTCAACCAAGGAGGTGAAAAACATGAACATGGAAAACTATAAAACATTGAAGAAGGAAATTTTAAAAGATACCAATAAATCCCATGTCCATGGATTGGAAGAATTTATATTGTTAAAATTTCCATACTAGCCAGAACAATCTAAAGAGTCAATGCAATATCTATCAAAGTTCCAAAGGCATTTTTCACAGAAATAGAACAAGCAATCCTAAAATTTGTATGAAACAACAAAAGACCCCAAATAGCCAAAGCAATTTTAAGAACAAAGCCAGAGGCATTATGCCTCCTGATTTCAAACTATATTATAACGCTATAGTAATCAAAACAGTATGATATTGGTCTACAAACAAACAAATAAATCAGTGGAACAGAATAAAGAGACCAAAAACCCACACACATTCAGTCAATTAATTTATGACAAAGGAGCCAAGAATATACAATGGGGAAAGAATGGTTTCTTCAAAAAATGGTGTGGGGAAAACCAGACAGCCACAGGCAAAAGGACAAAACTCAATCATTATCTTACATCAATTACAAAAATCAACTCATCATGTATTAAACATTTTGAACATAAGACTTGAAACCATAAAACTCCTAGAAGAAAATATAGGGGATAAGTTCCTTGGCAACAATCTTGGCAAAGATTTTTTGAATTTGACACCAAAAGCAAAGGAAACTAAAGCAAAAATTAACAAGTGGAACTACATGTAACTAAAAAGCTTTGGCCCAGCAAAGGAATAATCACAAAATTAAAAGGAAACCTACTGAATGGAAGAAAATATTTGCAAATCGTTCATCTGATAAGGGGTTGATATGCAAAATAAACAATTCACACAACTCAATAACAAAAAGAAAGATTTTTTTTAAAGGACAGAAGATCTGAATAGACATCTTTCCAAAGAAGATGTCCAAAGAAGATGTACAAATGGCCAGTAGGTATATGAAAAGATGCTCAACATCACTAATCATCAGAAGCAAACCAAAACCACATGAAATATATATTATCTCACACCTGTTAGAATGTCATCAAAAAGACAAGTGATAACAAAAGTTAACACTGGTGATAGTGTAGATCCTGAGAAAAGGTTCTCCTGGCGGCTAACTGGGCTCAAATTAAAAAAGAAAATACAAAAAACAAAAAAAAGAAAAAAACATCCTAGCAACTAAGTGACATAGGCCAGACATGTGCAATCTTAAAAAAAAAAAAAAAAAGAAACAAACAAACAAACTCAGAGTAGAAAAATGGTTGCTGCAGGGTGGGGGAATAGGGTGAAGTTAGTAAAAGAGTACAGATTTTTAGTTATAAGATGAAGAAAGCCTCAGGATCTAATGTAAAACATGATGACTGTAGTTCTAACACTGTATTGTATAATTGAAATCTGCTAAGAGAGTAGAATTCAAATGTTCTCACACACACAAGAAGATAAATATGTGAGGTGATAGATGTGGTAATTAACTGTGTGGGGGAATCCTTTCACAATGCAGATGTAGATCAAACCAAGACAATGTATACTTAAAATATCTTATGATTTTATGTCAATTATACCTCAATAAAGCTGAAATTTAAAAAAAAAGATGATAACTGCCACCCCGGTGCATTACCATAACAATATCTTTGAGACCATGAAAAAAATTGGTTACACATCAGCTGGCTAATGGATTTGTTTTTTAATCTGTTGGCAAGGTTATGAATTCCAGCAGGATTGCGTAGGTAGATGTGAGTAGTGTGAACATGTAAAAAGAGCTAAAGTGTGAGGTGCTATGTATGTGTTGGTCATGAAAAGTCACTATTCCTTAGGTCCCAAAACAAAAATCTCTCTTCCTGAGTCCCCCAAAAGCTGAGTGTACAAATCAGGAGCTAGAGCTGAAGAAGCAAAGAAGCAGAGGACAAGGGGACCCCATTAATAAGGAGGGTGCTCCCCAGCAGAGCCCCACCCCTAGTCAGACAGGCCAGGTGCTAGGGGGCCTCAGGATCTTCCCTTCTCTGTGTTCCCTCCTCCTGGACCTGCCGCTGTGCTGCATGGTGGTGACACCCACTCCATCTGCCTCACAGGGAGCACCAGCACGTGGTGGACATGGCCTTCCTGGGCACCCGGGCTGGCCTCCTCAGAAGCAGCTTGTTCGTGGGCTCTGAGAAGATCTCCAACAAGTGAGTCGGCTGGGTGCTGGTATCAGGACGCAGGCAGGGCACTTTTGCAGCAGGGGTGGGCACTCCTGGAATGCAAGGAGGCTGGAAGGGCTGCGGCTTACAGAGTGGGAGGGTCAGAAAGGTAACCCTTCCACTCAGGCTTGGACTTATCCTGGAGGTACCCCCAAGAGGGAGGGCAGCCCAGTCTGGCAAGAGAGACCGCGAGACCTTGATGTTGGAGGGGCTAGTCAGAGGTTCACTTCCACAGAGGGAAACCCAGAAATTGTCTTCCCCCAGGGACAAGTCTCTGTGTAACAACCTAAATCTTCTGACTGTGTTCCATCCTTTCTTGACAACTTCCTTTTCCCCTAAGCCAGCAATTCTCAATTGGGGGTGATTTATACCCACTGTAGGTACATTGAGCAGTGTCTGGAGACATTTTTGGTTGTAGAAACGGGAGGAGGGGGTCTTCCAGCCGAGACATAGGCATAGGTAGATACACTTTGCCTCCTCGCACAACCAAAAGAAGGACAACAAATTTAAAAACAAAAAACAACCAGAACTGCCAGAAAATTGAACTGTATGGAAGTGTGATTACCACGGAGTTAAAGAAGAAACATTCACCCAGACTGGTAGGAGGGATGGAGACAGGCAGTGGGGGCAGAGAGGATGCATGGCAAGACTGCAGCTGGAGGACCGGGAGGGCAAGAGGGTGGCTGGCAGTCCCACATTTGCATGCAGATAAACTGGGAGGAACTACTGGGGAGCAAAACAGAATGCACAACCCAGGACTTTGCTTGGGACAAGAAAGCTTCAAAACCTCTGGTTGTAAAACCTGTGGGGGTTGTGGCAGAGGGAGAAACTCCCAGCCTCATTGGATTGTTCATTGGAGAGACCTGCAGGGTCCTAGAACATACACAAACCCACCCACCCTGCACTCAACACCAGAAAGGCCCAATTTGCTTGTGGGTAGCAGGGGAAGTGACTGAAAGTCCACCAAGAGCCGAGCAAGTGGCATTGTTCCCTCTCTCACCCCTCCCCCGCATTCAGCGCCGGAATGCAGTGACGTGAGTTGCCCCACCCTGGCAAATACCTAAGGCTCTGCCTCTTACAATGTAACAGATGTGCCAAGGCAAAGAAATATGGCCCAAATGAAAGAATATATCAAAACTCCAAAAATAGAACTAAGAGATGAACAGATAGCCAACCTATTGGATTCAGAGTTGAAAACACTGGTAATCAAGATGCTTGCAGAAATGGTTTAGTATGGTAGCAAAATGGAGAAAAAAGCATACAGCAATGCAAAGTGAAATAAAGAAAAATATAAAGGGAATCAACAATAAAGGGAAGTAAACCAGGGCTCAAATCAGCAATTTGGAGTAGAAGGAAGAAATTAGCCAGAACAGAATGAAGAAACAGAATTCAAAAAAGTTAGAAGAGGCTTAGGAACCTCTGGAACAACTTTAAATGTTCCAACATCTGAATCATAGGGGTGCCAGAAGGAGAAGAGGAAGAGCAAGAAATTGAAAACTTATTTGAATAATGAGGGTGAACTTTCCCAGTGTGGCAAAGGAAATTGACTTCCAGGAAGTCCAGGAAGCCCAGAGAATCCCAAAGAAGTCAGACCCAAAGAAGCACACACCTAGGCACATCATAATTACATTAAAGATAAGGAGAGAATCTTAAAAGCATCAAGAGAAAAGCAGACAATTACCTACAAAGGAGCTCCTATAAGACTGTAAGCTGATTTCTCAGAAGAAATCTTACAAGCAAGAAGGGACTGGCAAGAAGTATTCAAAGTCATGAAAGGCAAGGACCTACGTCCAAGATTATTCTATCCAGCAAAGCTATCATTTAGAATGGTAGGGCAGATAAAGTGCTTCCCAGATAAGGTCAAGTTAAAGGAGTTCATCATCACCAAGCCTTTATTAAATGAAATGTTAAAGGGACTTATCGAAGAAAAAGAAGATCAAAACTGTGAACAGTAAAATGACAACAAACTCACAACTATCAATAACTGAACCTAAAACAAAAACAAAGACAAACTAAGCAAACAATTCGAACAGGAATAGAATCACAAATGGAGATCACATGGAGGGTTAACAGCGGGGGGTGAGGGAGTCGGGGCAGAGAATGAAGGAGAAGGTACAGGGAATAAGAAGCATGAATGGTAGGTACAAAATAGACGGGGAGCTTAAGAACAGTATAGGAAATGGAGAAGCCAAAGAACTTACATGTACGACCCATGGACATGAACTAAGGGCTGGTGGGAGGGGAACAACTGTAATAGCATAATCAATAAAATATACTTTTAAAAAAAGAAGGCTTGGCCAAAAGATATGGTAAATAAGAAAAAAAAATTCTAATGATTAAAAAAAAAGAGAAAGACACTGGAGGAGAGGTGCTTGTTACTGGCATTTAGTGGATGGAGGCCAGGGATGCTGCTAACCGTCCGACAGTGCACAGGATGGCTCCTGACAGCATCATGTCGGCCGTGCTGAGAAACCCTGCTCCAAGCAAAGCCTGATTCTAGGACAGCCATGCTATGCCCAGGGACCAGCCAGCCCTGTGTCCTCCTCACTGAGTATGGCAGCAAGAGGAGAGTAGAAGCCCAGTGAAGGGTCAGGAAGGGAAGGGGTGAGCAGAGCCACCTGTGCTCTGCAAACCATGAGACTCAAAGAGGATAGGCAGGGCGAGGAAGCATCTAGAGGAGGAGAACTGAGCGGGTTACTGGGAAGACTTGACCCCACCATCCTCACTTCCCACACACTGACCGCTCCTCCCTCTTAGCACCTCCGCGCCAAGCACCCTTAGCGATGGAGAGCCATCTTTGAGCTTCTTCCAGGACTCTGTGACAGATGCACACTGGCTAGAAAGCTGAGTCTTTCTAGGAAGACAAATGGAATTGTCTTTCTTCTCCCCACCTCCCCGCATCCCCTCGTAAGTGGAAACAGAGGGAGGCATGCTGCCTTGCTCCACTTTCCCAGGGCCCTGTCAGAAGCTAGCAAAGAGCTCAGACAACTCGGACTGGTAGGAGACTGTGGGTTCACCTGAGGCCTTGACCAAGGTGGGAAACTTTCCTAACCAAGCTCACTACTCACTCGTACCTCCTCGCCCCCTTAAACTTTACCCCAATCAGAAAACACACATATCTTTGTCAAGCCACGGTCAGACAACTGCTCCACGCAAAGGAAGAAAGCATCCTGGTGTTCCCCTGAGCCCTCTCTCTCTAAAAGGCTTCTGAGAACAGAAGAGGGAAACCTCAGACAGGCATACCCAGCCACCATGAACGACCTCACACGCCCTGCACAGCCCCCTTCCCCTAAGTGTGATGTGACTGGCAGCCCGGGAATTGTGCAACAAGGCAGGTCTGCTCCTGGAACACGTAAACCAGGCATTCTTAAAATCCCACCTCAACTACCCACCTTATGGGTTATCCACAGCAACGTTTCTAACCCCCGCCAGCTTCTCCCTGCCTCCCACTCTGCTTCTGGACCAACGCTCTCTCCTGCCAGCTGCTGTGTGTTCAGGGAATGCAAAACCATAATTAGCAAGATAAAGCTGCTCAAAGAGAGAAAACTCATGATGCATTCTAAAACCTGGAGGCAATGGCTTTGAAGTAAGCATTTGGGGGGAATTTATGCTCTTGTATTAGCTCAGTGGTGAAGGTGACTATAGTTTCCTCACTCAGACATGCTAATTAGCCAGACAAAAAGAAAGTAGGCTATATCCAAAAGAAAAAACCTTGCAAGCCAAGCAGTTTATATAAAAATGGAAAGTATTCTTTCAAAATACAAGGCTCACATCTCTTCTAGCTACTAATGTGCCATCAGATGCAACGGCATTTAACTCTGGAAAAGGCAGGAATTGCTGGGGACATCGTCTGGGGCACCACCAGCTAGGAGCTCATGTTTTGTACCTGCAAGTCCACCAGAGCAGACGGGAATCGGTCTCTTGGCCCAGCCAATATGGTTGTGTATAGAAAAGGAAAAAGAGAGAAATGTGTTCCCAGATTTGAAGGGAGGAATCAAATCTTTCTCCTTGCAGGAAGTTTCTGACCCCTGAAGACAAGGCCAGCATATTCACCATGGACCACTTCCCTCTGTGGTACCGCCAGGCCGTGGAGCAGCCTGCTGGCAGCTTTGTCTTCCACCTGCACTCGGGAGAGGAACCAGGTAACTGTGCTGCTGGACCAGGTGGGACCAGGGCATCCCTCCTCCTCCTATGCTCTTAGTGATATAAAGCAGAAGGTCCAGACCTCCAGGTTCCTTCCTACCTTCCTCCTGACACATGGCAGCAACCTGAGAAAGCTCGCTGGGGCCTTACTGCACCCTACCATAGGCAGAATAGAGACTTGCTAGTCTCTACCCTGCCTATAGGATGGGTCGTTGTATTCCCTGGCCAGTAGTCAAAGTTGGCTGTTGAAAATCCAGTGTGGAACAAAAGAAATAGATCCAACCAAAAGCCAAGAAGAGCTGGATTCTAGCCCAAATTCCAAATAGAAGGATATTGGACAAGTTAATCTCTAAGATTCTTCTATTTCTAAACATCTCAGTATCCTTAAACCTCCCAGTTCCTTAAACCACTCCGTGAAAGTAACACTTCATTCCACTGGGGACGGCCCCTACTTGCCAAGGCCGCTGCCCCCTCAGCTCTCCTCCTCCCGAAACAGGAAAAGCAGCCTGGGCTCCACCCCCTGGACTCTCCCAGGGGTCACAACACTGAGCTCCTGGCCTGCACCTCAGAAGCTTCCCATAATAACGGGGCGCCTCCCACGGGCAGGCCACGGTTGGAGGTGGGGCAGCCCCTGTTGGATCCCATGGACCAAGCTAGCAAACCCCTACTAGTCCAAGGTTTTCAGAGCTTCAGGCACCCAACTCTCCCAAGCACCTACTCTGAAAAATGGCCCCAAAAAGAAAAATTACGTGACTTTAACAGAGCACCAAGAAAACTGTAGAATGTTTAGAATAGAAAGGGGCTTTGGAGGACACACAGCCCCAGACTCTTTTTTTTTTTAAGATTGTATTTTATTTTTTTTTGAGAGAGAGAGAGAGGGGAAAGGAGAGAGGGAGAGAGAGAGAGAACATCAATGTGTGGTTGCCTCTTGAGAGCCCTCCACTAGAGACCTGGCCTCCAACCCAAGCAAGTGCCCTGACTGGGAATCAAACCAGCAACCATTTGGTTTGCAGGCTGGCATCACACTCTTAACTTATAAGCAAAGAGACTGTAACTTATAGAGGTGGAAGGCCTTGTCCAGGAGTCCAAGAGTTTGGGCAGAGCAAGCTCTCTACCAGGTCACCTCTGGGGGAGGTTGATCCCATCGCAGGAGGGCGAGGGGGCCTATAAAGTATCCACAACCAGGTCAGAGCTGAGGAGGAGGATGAACAGAAGGAGGAGGGGGGAAGACTGAAAACATCGGAAAGGAGAGGGGTGGGCTGGGAGCCCACTGGAATGAAGAGTCGCACTTCCCCTTCAAGATGTCTCCAACCAGAACCCTTCTGGCCACCACTTCCACCGAAGCCATCCTCCAGCTTCCTGATGGAGAAATGCCCCCAGCTGACAGCTGGGGAGGTCCGGGCTCCTTTGGGCTCCTCCAGGGCTGCAACAGCAACAAGGCAGTCCCCTCTGCGCCCTCCAGATGCCTTCCTCTCCTTGTGCTTAAACCCGTCTCTCCATCCTGTGCTTGTCCTTTCCACCTGAGGTATCGCTAACGTGCTTTACAAAACTCCTCACCATACATAACACACTTAATCTGCACAACCCTATAATGTTAAGTGCTGTTATCACGCCTCTTCATATACAGGGAGAACCTGAGGCTTAGAAAAGTTCTGTGTCTTGCCCAGGATCACCCATTGAGAGAGCCACAGAACCAGCCTAAAACCAAGGTCTACCCACCGAAGTTCCTGCTCTTTTACTGCACTGAGTGGAAGGCAGGGAAGGGGGTGGGGGCAACAGGGAGTGCGGTCGCTACTGGTAAAAGCTCGGAGGAAGGTTCTCAAAGCCAAGGTGAAAGTCCACTTCCCACACTGCCCACCCTGAACCAGAATGAGGCAGCCCTTTCTTCCTGGCACCATCTACAGCAGCACCAAGGGCTCCCCGAGGAGGGGGTCCCATGGGCCCCGGGGAGGTTCTCTGGCCCCTGGTCCCTTCACAGGGTGATGCTCTCTGCTGCCAGCATTGTCACTGGGAGGTGCCTGCTGGGTGCCGGTGGGGAGCTTTTTGTGGCGGTGAGGTAGGAGGGCGGGTGGGTGCGAACTGAGCCGCAAGAAGAGAGGGAAGCTGGCAACCCAAAAAGAGGGCCGGTTGAGTTGGGAGGCAGGAGCTCACTCTGTTTTCACACCCTCGCTCATGCATATGTTTAGAGACACGTGGACACCTCTGCACACGCCCATTCTCCCCCAAAGAAAGAAAACAACAATTTTATTTTAAGGGGAGGAGGAGCCCCAAGGAGGCAGAGGAGTCAGCTCGGGGGTGTAAAGACTTCCCCCTGCCTCTCCTGCTGACTCCGTTGCACTTTGACTGGGCCTGGTGGGCGGAGCTCTGCCCACAGCTCTGTCTTTTGTCAGTGCCTGAGAAACCCGCCAGCGTGGAGCTAAGTCTTTCAGGGCCACCCGAGGCCTGCTCCACCAGCAAGTGGTAGCCAGCTCACTCACCACAGGTGCTGGACTAAGTAGCTGCTAGGTGACCCAGGTGCTGAAACTCCTGATGTCCCCAGAGACTGTCAGTAGGGTCCCTGCACCTTCACGTGGGTGTTTCCCGCAGCCTATGGAGCATACATACAATGGAAGGGTTTGTCTAGGAAAGCAGCCTGCGGGCCTGGAGAAAACCACAGGATGTCAGCCACCTCAGTATCTTCCAGAAATTTCTAGAAGCAAGGTGACAAAGCCTACTTCTCTACCTATTGAGGTCCCTTGCAGCTTCATCATGGCAAATTCCTACAATCAAGGACAACCTCACACAGTTTAAGTTCCTAGAATCTGAGTAACTTTAAAATTCTATGTGTTATGTGATTATAGCAACGTGGGATAGGTAATCTTAGCAAAATAGCAGATATGAGAAACTAGTGGTTAATATAACTTCCATTTCAAATGACACTGTAATAGCAATCAGCACACGACAAGATTCTCATGACCCGTTTGTTTCAACATTTCACATAACGTTTTAACAAGAGAGCACATGATAAAATTTTGCCCCTTCCTTGGAACATTTAGTAATGGAACTTGACCCGTAGATAAGAGTGCTTTGGAAAGCTAATCTAGGGCCATGAATGGATGAAAATTAAGAAACCCAAGGTCATGTACTAGCCTGCACCAGCTCAGAGCCAGAGAGCTCTCTTTAGTGGAGAGCTGAAGCTGCCACCCACATTCTGCACCTTTGGCGGCCTGATTCCTAAAAGAGGTGGAAAAGCCACTCAAGGAAAGCCCCTTGCCCTTCAGAAGACTGGCAGAGTGTCCTAGAAGTGCAGAAACCAACTGCAAAGCCGGTGAAAGACATGGCCGATGGTGTGGTGGTGGCAGGCAGGCCACCAACAGCCAGGATTTAGGGGGTGCCTCGGATGTGTCGGCCGGAGGCAGCCAGCCTTCTGTGCCTGAGGCAGCCCTGGCGTCTGGCTTCCTGAAGGGGCTGCCAGGGTCTCCCTGACTCGTGTGACTGATAAAGGACAATCCAGGATCTGCAACTACCCAGTCCTGGAGCTCAGCCGGTCCTTCTGTTAAAAAGAATCATTTGATGCAACACAACTTTTCTAGCTGGAAGACGTGTCAAGGGGACAGTCACTGCAGGGTCCCCGAGTTCAAATGAGCAGCAAACACACAGGTTTGCTGCCCTGAGACACAACAAGCTCACAGTGTCCTAGTGACACTGGCAGTGCCGCGTTGTCCAGGTGGGCGGGGGCCGTAACGTCCACTTATTTGTCTGGCAGGTTCAGATATGCACATAGCGGAGCAGCGCCGGGGTGGGAGGGTGCGGGGGGGGGGAGGTCCTTAGGAGGTCCCCTGCTGCAACCAGAGGTTGGCGGTGGCAGAGCCGTCACAGCAACGATGCCTTCCATCCTGCCCTCAGTGATCCGAGGAATGTCCTCGCCTAGTATTTATACTTGTCTTCGTGGCCCTACCCCAACCACTGCTCTTCCTCAGCTACTGAGAAAGTGACGCAGCAATTTTTGTTTTCCCAGAAGGTCTGCGTGAGCCAGCGGTGGTAACAGCGAGCACAGCGGTAGCCGTGACAGTGGATAAGAAGACGGCCATTGCCGCAGGTAGGGGCTGCACTTCATGCCGCCGAGGCTGGGAAGTTGTGAATCGATATTAAGAATAAGGCACACGGTAATAGCAGGGGCACTTCTGTCTGTGGCCTGCAGTGGCCACAGTCCTTGGCCGTAAGTTTTCCCAGGTGATATGTGGGGCTGAGGGCAGTGGGGTCTTCCCAAGTTATTTTGTTTATAAAACAGTAAAACCTTAGATCTAAAAGAGTTTGTAAAATGAGTAAAATGAAGCCCAGCGAGGTTAAGAGTTCTGCTGAAGGTCGCACCGGACAGACTGCACCCCAGACCGCCGTCCCACCCCTCAGCGTGCTGCTTCCCTCTTCCACCGCCGTGGGTCTAGTGTCCCTCCAAAGAGAGAACGGGGCTGTGACTCAAATCCTAAAATTAGAACCAGCATGTGTGTTCGGCACGTGCCAGGCCCCTGGGAATCTGCCTCTCATGCATGTCTACATCCAGCCCTGTGAAGGCAAGATCCAGTGAAGCCAGGAGTTTTGGCTCCATTTTACAGATGAAGAAACTGGGACACAAAACAGTTGTTTGCCCAAAGTCTCACAGCTAATAATTGATGAAGCGAGAATTTAAACTCAGATCATCTCGCTTAAGGCCCAGGTTCACTATCTTGTTACAATTTGCCTCAAATGTGTGAGAGCACCTGATGACCCTCACAAGCTCTCTTGATTTTGTAGCTTCTTAGTGGCTCAAAAAGCCTCGGGCATCTCTGTCTCTTTATCTGAGAGCCATCAGGCCTGAGTGATGAAGCCCCCTTCTCCTGGTTTCAGCTTCCATGTCTCAGGTTCAGCTGTGTTCTGAAAAGTTGCATGATCCAACAGGCACTCAAGCACCAGCCATGGTGCTTCCTTGACTCCGGCACCTGCCCTGCTTCCCAGGAACCCCTTAGCCTCATGGAGGGACTCAGCAGCTGGAGCGGGGCGGGGTGGGCAACATCCGTGCACCTTCTCCACTCAGGCTGAATGCAGGGCACAGGGGATAGGGGGACAGGCTGGGCTCAGGCAGAGAGGGTCTGACTCTGCCTTCCTGTCTCAAGAGGAGCCCAGGGTCATCCTGAGTGAGGCCCCTGGGCTGCTTTCCACCCTGGGATAAGAGGTGGGGGAGAATGACTTGGTCTGATGTTGCTCAGTACCCGTGTTAGGAAACACCTGCACCACGGATGGTCTTCAGGATGCACGAGCGCAGCATTTAGAAGGCACCCAGGGCACTTCAACCACCCTTTTTTTTCTTAGTCCATGGCAAGCTAATTCTAAATCCATTTCTAGGCCAAATTGTGACCCCAAACTTGTCTCCTTAAAGATTGTTCTGGGGTCCCAGCTGAGCCTGTGCCTGTGCCTGTGCCTGTCCTACTCCCTTCGTATCATGGGCCTTCTCAGCTCCCGCACACCTCAGTCTAAGAAACAGAAGGGATATGGGGTCAGGCTGCTGGCTCTGCTCTCCTGCACTCCCCAATTATTTGAAATCTTTTTTAACTCAGAGCTGAATTGGAGCTGTAAGGGGTTGCCATAGAAACTGTGTCTTTCCTGGTGCCTCTGGTTTAATGCACGGCAGAGGATCCCTCTGGCGCTCTGGGGTGCATAGACGTGACAAGAAAACGAGGAGGCACTGGACACCTGATATTTTGACTAGTTAGGGGGTCTCCTTTTATAATTTCCTCTTCCTGGTCTATGGCTCAGCCTCCCTGATCCTCGAGCTAATGGGGGCCTATAGCTCAAGACAGGGTGGGCAGCCTGTTTACTGTCTTAGCACGTTCATCCCTTGGAAACTCTTGGCATTGTGTGCATGTGAGCTCCAGAATTGTGTGAGCATGTGCGATTTTATGTGCTGAGTAAGGAGAGATGAGCACTTGGACCAGCTACAGAGGCCAGCTATGTACCAGGCAGATGTGTGTATAATGCCATGCATTTGTGCAGAAGGGCAGATGAATGGGGAGAGATTATTTTCGTCTCTAAGCAAGTGATTTATCAACAGTTTTTGCAAAATTTCTATAAATCTAACTTTGTAATCAGGACCTATTTTCAATTCTCCATGCCCTCCAAGCCCTAGTTAGGGAATATTGCCAAACATAATGACGGTGGCACCGTAGTCTGCAAGTGGCTTCTCTAGCATGTGTCCTGCAGTGTACACGTGCCTTGGACAGAGAGGCCTTCATGTGGTGGGCCTGCCGTCTGGAGCTGCATGAGGCTCTTCTCCTTAGAGTTCTGCCCCCCAGGGAATGGGCCAGCGGAAGACTTGTGTGCGCACGCGGGACGGCAACTTGAATGATGCAGCTCTGCGTTGCCCAGACTTGTGCCCCTCCTGTGAGGGGCCCTGTCCTCTGCTTCTGCAGTGGGGCTTGGGGAAGACTTGGCAGTCAGGTCTGCTCTAACTGTTGGGGCTGCAGGAGGGCGACAGCCCACAGTTATCGCCACCTAGAAAGGGGAGCAGCCCAGTTCTACCAGGAATCCAGCTGAGCTCCAAAAATGGAGGCCCTGATAGTTTACTTCTCCCTGGGGTTCGCTCCTGGCTCACTGGAGTATCCTCCAAAGAAAGGCTGGGACGGAGACTAATGAACCGTATGGCCCAGGCCCAGTCAGCCAGAAGCCAGTCAAGGCCTCGAGGAGGCTCACTGGGGCCTGGGGTAGCCGAGGCGCCGCAGAGGCCTTGCTCACGCCCTCATCTCCTCTCCTGCTTCCCCCATCCCCAACCCCCAGTCCGTGATCCTGATTCTCTGCCGGCTGAGCCCTCTGAAGAGATCACATTTGTAAGCCCAGTATGTCATCTGCAGGTCCCTCAAGTCAGTCTTGAAAGTGCAAGATGGTAATAGGAGAAACGGGGCTCCTTCTTCATGTCAGCAAACCTCCCCAACCTCACTGCAGCTGATAAAACCCGGTCTGTAGAGAAGTCCCCTAATTGCTTGTTGGGAGCGTCCCCCTATCCCCCTTTACACCGTGGGGTCCCTCCAGACATATGTATGCCTTCCTGCCACATGGGCCCACCTGCGCTGGACTGTCGGGGGGAGGGGTCACTCAAGCCAGAGTGGATGAGCTCCCACATGTCTAAGCATGTGGGCAGTGATGGGTCTCACTTCATTGCCACCCAGTGAAACCAGCCGGCCCCCCCACCCCCAGGTCAGCGCACAACTGAGCTTGCCACACGCAGGGACAGGCCTCTTCTAACCCAGAACACAGCCCTTCACTCTCTCCTGGTGGCGCCCAAGGCGAGGCCGTGGATGGGAGGTTCCCACCTGTCTAGGGAGCTCTGGACATTGGGGTGACACCTGGCAGCACTTTGTGCAGCTGCCTGGGAGGCGAGGGGCGAGGCAGCCACTCTCCCAGCCCCCACATCCCCTCCCCACCCAAGGAAACCAGGAGGTACATAGGAAAATACAGTCTTTATTGATCTTCTGAAACAACAAACCGGAAATATAATTTTGCCTTTAAAAATCTTCCATCTCAAGATGAAGATACTGCCGTTGACAACATGCCCCCTTCCCCCTATTCCCTTTAGGAAGTCCCTGGATCTGGTTTCAGCTGGTAAACCAAAAGAAGGAAGACTGTGCCCCTACCCCGGGGAGAGCATTTAGCATCCTGTGCTCGGGCTCCCTCTGCTTCCCCTTTGCTGGAGAATGGCCTTCTCAAAGGCCTTTCTGCCCCTTCTCCTAACCCCCCTCCCCCACTAAGCTCGTCTCTGAAATGGAAGGGCTGAGGGATGCAAAGTGAGCTGATCTTGCCCTGTCCTGCCCTGTCCGTCCTCAGACCCTGGGCCTCACTGTTCTCACAACCTCTTCCTGGGCCACCGTTGAGAACCTCTCTGCCAGTGGTAGAAACAGAAACCAGCTCAATGTCTCCCACCCTCTGTGGGTCACGGGAAAACCAGTGTCCCACATCAAACTCATGAGGAGGGGCAGACCTAGAAAAACAGAATAGTGACCCCTGAACCCGGCACAGCCCTCTTCTCACTGCCTCTCCCACAGCCACGCAAGCAGGTATCTCTGTCCCTTTGGTGTAGGTTCAGCCAAAGAACAAACAGTTCCCTTGACCCATGCTCTGGTTTGGAGCCCAGTCCAGGGGCAATGAAGAATTCTGAGAAGCCAGGCTGAGCAGACCGAACCGTGGGAAAGGCCGCCCCATCGCTGAAGCCACTGAGAAGGGTGCGGCAGTCCTGGCCCTGCTCCTGCGTCCGTGGGGGAGATGTTGGCAGGCAGTGAACTTCAGCAAAGGCCGCCTGTTTTCCCAAGATGCCACCAATCACAGAGCATGACCCAGGCCCCATCCAAGGTCACCGGCCCAGAGATGCGAAAGATGGAGGGTTGAGAGGTGCAGAGCAATGGTGCCTGGGCCGCAGGCTACAGGAGTGGGATCGGTGGGTATCCCCACGGGGCTGGCAGTGATGATGCCTTAGGCTCCCTCAGCTCTCAGGAGGCTGCCATCCACAGGCGCTGCAGCTTCGAATCCTCTGGGCTGGTGTCCCTGGAAAACCCAGCAGGACAGGTGAGAGGGTTACCATGGGGACAGGCAGGCTCATCCACTTGGCCCACGTTAGAGAACCTCAAAGGCATCCTGTGTTGTCAGTTTGGGTTTCTCCCCCGTGTGGACTTGAGAAGATTGCAGTAAAGCAAGCAAAAGTTCTGTGTTCTGAGGACTAGCGATCCAAGGGGGAAACGTGCTTCTGCTCCCCGAGTTCTCATGGCCTCTGTCTCCATGTGACTGTGTGTGCGCCTGTGTGTGAGATCTTTTCAGCTGATGTGATTTCGCTGGTGGTGCTATGAGTGTTTGTGAGAGTAAATTAGTGCGTCCAGGAGCAGTGTGGTCGGCGTGGTCTCTAGCAGATACAGGGACACAATGGCTTCAGCCAAGAGATGTGTTACCATCACAGCACTGTGCGAGATCCAGATGACAGGGTTGGTATGATTGCACATTAGTACCAGCTCTTGAAAACTGGACCCAACTTTTACACTAGTGGATGATTAAGAATATCTTTCTGGCATAGAAGAGAGTCACAGAAATGGACCACTGACCCTCATATTACTTCCTCCCCGACCCCTAAATGCAGATGAGGCGGGTTGAGCAAGAGGTATGGAGAGTCACCCAACTGTGACTACACCCAGGGCAGGAAGGGCAACGGGGGTGCTCAGTCCAGAAGCCTCCACTTGCACACACATTCTTTCTTCCCTGCGGCTAGAAGCTCAGGGAGATCCCCTGGTGTTCCAAAGATTTTGTGGCCCAGAAGGGAGCATCAGCAGGAATCTTTAGCGTAATGGCAGCTTCCCCAGAGACTGGAAGTCCACACTTGGCTGGTTTTCTGGAGGGCTGGGGGGAAAGTGGAGTTGGGGACTGTGACAGAAAGAAGGGCCAGCCCTTCCCGAAGCAGCCTCTGTGCACTCTCCTTGCCCTTCCTACCTGGGCCAGGTGGAGCTGGACTCTCTCATGCTACGGAGGAGATTTGCTTCTGGTCTTCATGCTCGCCCTCCGAGTCCCCCATGAGGGGTTGACGCTTCTTGAGCTCTCGGTGGTACTTGGCCATTAGGGAGGCATAGATGCATCCGTAGGCAGCAGCCACCACCATCATGATACACACGATGCCACAGACAACTCCGGCGATGATCACGGTGCCAATGGCCCGGCGCACGCTCGCTGGCCGATACCTCTGCTTCTGAGGGCAGGCTGTGCTGGGCTCAGGCTCAGGCTCGGCCCCGGGCTTGGGCTTCACAGGTTCTGGGCTGGTCTTGGTGCAGGGTGGCCCAGGACTATCCAGCCCAGCCGAGCTATTCTCATCCTCCAACTGGGAGCAGTAGTTGAACATCTCCATGGGGACCATACGCATGTCCTTCCCCCTCAGCTCCTTGGGTAGGGTACAGGCAAGCTGATCTAGGCGCCCCCCTGCATTGGGGGAGAAAAAAGCAGGGGCTGACCAGGCATCCAGAAGCTGGACTCCCTCTCCCTGTCCCCAGGTCCCAGACACAGAAGGCCCAGAAGTTCTAGTTTATGTCAGTAATACGGTCAGTCCTGGGACCACATGGATAGGAGAGGAAGGGAGGAGGGAAACTCGCATCTATGGTCAGTGATGCACATACAGCTTGTCATTTAATCCATGCAGAAGCCATGCAAAATGGATATTGTCATGATTCCCGTTTTATAGAGAAGCACACAACCATTTCAATCATGCCTGCTCACTCGAGTCAAACTGACCCGCAGGGTGAGACAGTGCTGACACGGGAGCTGCTCAGGAAAGAGTTGTCAGTGCAAAGAGAGAGCCACGAGCCCTGCCAGACCATAGGCCTGCTCTTCTCCTTGCCTCTGAGTCTGCCTGTTCACCACCTGTCTGTAAGCCCAGGGCACTGTGTTCCACACAGTATCTTATTTCTCTAGGGCTCTACCCTCACAAAAAAGACAAAAGCCCAAAACCATTGCCAGTGCCACCACTCTTCCATGTAGGGCCTTTTGGTTGCCTAAGAGTACCTCCTTGAGTACAGAGAAAAAGGATTGGGCGAGAATGTTTTTCTTTTCCCATTTAGAGCAATCCAATGGCCCCATCAGCACCCCAATGTCAGCGTCTCTGAGTGCAGAGGCATCTTGGAAGGGAATCCTGAAGACCCATGAGGGCAAAGGAGAGAGGCCAGTGCTAATGGCGGGGAGGGTAGGTGCAGGCAGCGATGGGTGCCCAGGTTCACCATGACGATGGTGAAGCCCACTCCACCATGGGGAGGTGGAGATACAGAACATGGCGGGCAAGAGAGGGGACAGCTATGGAGAATGAGTGGCCTGGACGTGCCCTGCGAAGTCAGAGTTGGGTCCAGTGAAATCTAGATGCAGGCAATAGACCCCAGTGCATCTCCCAGCCCTCTGTCCAACAGCCATCGATTTTTGTCCCAGGACACCGATGAAAACAGCCAAGATTTTTTTTTTTTTGAAGGAGTGCAAGTTTGAAAACAACTCTACTACTGAAAACTGCTGAAAATAAACATTCCCATTCCATGCCCTTTTGTGCTGAGAGTTTAGTTCCTGATGACTGATGACAGGGCGAGGTCGTTAACTAGGGACAGCACACTGGCCTGGGTCTGAAGGCGCTCGGCCTCAGTTCCTCCCTTCCTTGCACCCCGCCCCATGATGCTGACTCCCTAGGCAGCCTTAGCGAGTCTCACACCCAGTGAAATGTGCCCGGGCTGCCTTTCTATCAGCAGAAGCTGGGTGTAGGCACGGGGGCAACCTTACCTTCCTGCTCCAAAGACCTGAGGGAGAATCCAGGCTATGTCATCTTGTGCAAATTACTTAATGTATTTACTTATGAGTCTTAGCTTTCTCGATTGTAAAATAAGAAATTGTTATCTCAATGAGCTACGAGGATTAAGGTAGATAATGTACATGAAAAGATGTTTGTAAACTGGATACTATGCAAGGATTTATTATTTCCCCAGTCACAAAAAATGAAAGAAATTATCATAATGACTAACATTTTTGTGACACTTTACAGTATGTAACATGTTTTTAATAACTAACACAAGAATGTTGTTCAAAAAACTGAGATTGTGGCTGGGTATGAAACAAAAAGAGACTTTGACCAAAAAAAAAAATGTTAGCAGTTCTTTCACAGAGAGTTTTGATATTGTTTCATTTATTTAGCAAATATTCATTGAGCTTCTACTTTGTGCTAGGCACCAAATTGTATCATATTAAGCCCATTTAAATGACTATTACTAGCAAATGAACAAATAAATAAGTTTTATTGAGGACTTACTTTATACTGAGCATGTTTTAAGACACTTTACATGTGTTGCCTATTCAATCCTCACAATGATTCTATGAGAAAGATTGTTATTCACCCCCCATTGTACAGATGAGGGCACTGACACGGAGACATTAATCACCTTTCTCAAGGTCACACAGATAGTAAGTGGTAGAGCCACAAATCACACCCAGATCTGGCACTTTTAATCTCTCTGCTTCCTTCTTTGCCCTCCTTTTCCATTTCCTTTCATTATTTCATAAGTCATTGCAGAACTTTCTCGGTTAACAAAAGGGAGGAAAAGAAAGTAAAACAAAAGCCACTTGGCTCTGCTAACAGAAGCTCTTGGGAGAGAGAATTGAGATCATCACCGAAATAAAAATTTGGTTTTTTCTGTGGATTTAAATTCTATTCCACACTCCTGACTCTGTGGGTATATCATAGATTGCTGTATTCAGAAAAACAAGCGTGTTTTTCCTTCCTCCTCCTGCCATGCAAAGGAATCCCAGAGCACACATAATGGGATGCAGAGAAAAATTATACTGTGTCTTTAAGCTCCGCCATGAAACCTATGAAAGTGAGATCAAGTACAGCGAGTCAATCTGAAAGAAACAGAGAAGAACCCTGACTGCTGTGGCTCAATTGGTTGGGAACTGTCCTACAAAGAGAAAGGTCACCGGTTTGATTCCCAGTCAGGGCTCATGCCTGGGTTGCAGGTTTGGTCCTGGTTGTGGGTTCGGCCCTGGGTTGTGGGTTTGGTCCCCAGTAGGACCGTGTACGAGAGGCAACCGATTGGTGTTCCCTCTCACATCAATGTTTCTCTCCCTCTCCTTCTCCCTCCCTTCCCCTCTCTCTAATAAATAAATGAATTTTTTTTTAATGCTGAAAAAGAGAGAGAAGAGAACAGAGGGGCATAGGGAGGGGGACACAGAGAAGAAAGGGGAGCATTGGGGAAGGAGGGAGAGCAGCACCCCAGCTACTGCCCTGCTGAGCATTTGGAGGCAAGGCTGGGACTCCTTCAGCATGACTGCTGAAGAGGCAGGGCCACCCCTTTCTCCCCCGACCTTAGCCCTGAGTCAGCGCCCAGCCTCCAGGAAGCATGCCGGCCACAGGTGACCCTCCCAATTCCTCACACCCAGGCAGGGCTGGCTGTGCTCACCTCGGTAGGAGAACCACTCCATCCAGTGCTTGAAATCTCGCAGGTTACAGTCACACTCCCAGGGGTTGTCCCCAACCTGCAGCAGCTGCAGACTCACTAGGGGTTCGAACGTCAGCCGGTCCAGGCTCTGCAGACGGTTGGAGCGTAGTGATAGAGAGCGGAGAGCAGGGAGCCCATCGAAAAGGCCCGGGGGCAGCTGGGCCAGGCCATTGATGGACAGGTCCAGGTGGCGGAGCAGGGGTGAGTGCTGCAGCAGGTCTCTGTCCAGGGTCCTGATGCTGTTATTGCGCAGCTGCAGCTCTGTCAGATTCGTCAGGTCCTGAAATATGGAGCTGGGCAGCTGGTCCAGGAAGTTGTTGGATAGGTCCAGCCGCTGCAAGCTGGACAGATTGGCGAATGCCCAGCTCGGCAGGGCACTCAGCTTATTGTTCAAGAGCAGGAGGGTTCGGGTGGCAGCAGGCAAGTCCGGGGGCACGATCGTGAGGCCTAGGCCACTGCAATCCACATCCAGATTGCTGGTGTCGCACTTACAGGAGAAAGGACAGGCTGGGAGGGCCTCCACAGCATACAGGGTGATCCAGCAGGCAATCCCTGGGGGACAGATGGAAAGAAAGTGACAAGTGGGGGTTACCTCCTCCTGCCTCTCTTCCTTCCTCGCTAGTTCATATCATAGTGGCTTCTTGTCTTCATCTCCTTTGGCCCCAACCACAATCAATGTGCAAGGATTTATTGACCACATAAAAAGATAATTAACAAATCCAAAACACTTCTGTATTAATGGACATCACACAGTGTTAGTACAGATCCTTGCCTCATAGCTCATCTATGTGCTATGGAATCACTTTTGTGGAATGTGATCCTGCCGAATGGCAGGCTTGAGTCCAGGGGACATGCAGTGCTGGTCCACAAAGATGCTCCAATTCACGTGGCTGCCCACGGCTGATCTTCTCAGGAGCTTGGGCCCCGCTGACACCATAGACGTTGACAAAATGAAGGACATACGGATGATTGGGAAACCTGCTCCCACGTTTTTCTCCCACTGTTACTGCCAGGAGAGGGTTCTCTTTCCACACTGCTCCTTCCCCTTGCACCCCCGCCCCAACCTGGAACTGCACTAGGCTGAGACATGCCACACATTAGAGAGAGAGCACAAAGGGGCACTCCAAGCCTGCCCCTCACCCCGCAATGTATCAGATATGCAGGAGTCCCACATCCCAGATGGACCCAGCCACTTTGTGCGAGGATCAGCTGGGAGCCCAGCCCACCCAGGGTCCGCTCCAGAGACCACTGTGCAAATGATGAGGATGAGATGCACAATTCCACTTCACACAGAAGAGTATGTGTGCCTGAGCCACTGCAAATCATGGGGCCGAAGACAAGTTCCATGTTTGTTCTCATCCTAATGTCATCTATGCCTATCATAGCCTGAGCTCCCATTGCTAAGGGCTGCATGGTAGCGTTTCTGCAGAATGGATCGATTCACAGCATTCCTTTGGTGGTCCCATGCTTTGCCCAAGACTCTTCTGAGTAACCCAGTGGAAGGGCCAGGAGTGGGGGTGGGGCCTCAGAGAACAATCACGAAAGAACAGGTCATTCCATTGTCCAGCAGACCTTTCTAAGGGTGGCTGAAAAGCCCCCTACACGCTCTTCCTGAATATCAGAAAAGCCTGCTCAAACTAGCTCAGCTTCACCAACTTCAACCCCAAGAAGCCCAGAGCGAAGGCCCCAGCCCAAGAAGCGATGGAGGTGTCCAGACCTAGCTCATAGCCCAGGTGGCTTCACCCAGAGAAGCGGCAGCCACCCGAACCTGGGTGCCTGGCTGGAATGCTCTTGAGTCTGTGTGGGGTAGATGTCTGGTTATCTGGTGCTCCAAAGGGCAGAACTGGAAGAACAGGGTGGAGCCCTGTCCCTCCCCTGCCTGGAAGATCGATGACAGCTGAGAGACACACTGTAAGGCTGACACCTGAGCTTCGAGGGGAAATGAGCACAGGCTTGGCCATGGAAGCCACCTGGAGACCCTCCCTGGCCACGTGGGGGCACCTGCTGCTCCCTCTCACTGCCACACCCTCCTGAGCCCCGCCCCCGCGCTGCCCCACACCAGCCCGCACCGTGCATATGAAAATCAACCTCCTTCAGACTTCACTTTGCTGAGAAAAAACCTCAACGCTTCCAGCATCCCTCTTAAAAGATTCCATGTACCTAGAAGCCACTCCTCTCCCACCCCCAAGAAATTCAGAGTGGCACAAAAGCCCTAGTGACAAGAAAACATAATCCTCTATTGCGAGGTGTTGAGTGATTCTAGAATGAGGTTGAAAGGGGATCTGAGTGGCTCAGGGATCGGCCATTCTCGTGTGATGAATAATTCAGGCCACCCATGTTAGGCAGCTGCCTGGCAGGGCTGACGTGCAAGGGGAGTGTCAGGCAGAGTATGTCCCTCAGGACCACCTCTTACCTCCTACCATGGGGTCCTGGGCAAACCAGTCCTCACTGTCCTTGTCCCTTTACCTCATATAAAGAGAATTCTTGGGGCTTCTTTCACCCTGACAGCTTTGCGAGTTTCCTCATGGGAAATGGAGAGCCCGTTTCTTCACAGGATAGAGAGGTTGGACCCGGTCCCTAAACTCCCTTCCAGCACCACATCCCAAGAGCTCACTGGTTCCTCTCATTTGAGAGCTGGGAAAACTGAGGCATAAGAGAGGTCTCCCCCAGCCGGTGGTCCAGCCAGACAAGAGGGTGGCCCACGTTAGAGCGACAGGGCCATAGGAACTGGAACCAGTGGCGGGGTGGGGGCGACGGGGGTTGGGACATCCTGGTTCAAGAACAGACCAACTCGGGGAGACAGAATCGTCTGTCATGGCCTCCAGCTCCTGATCTAACCACTGAGGTTCTCAGCAGCGACCCTTTCTTTAGCTGCCACAGATATCAGAAGCACGGCAGGTCTGCAGAGGGTAATCCTGGAGGCCTTCCCAGAGCCAGGCCTTGGGCCTACCAGGCAGATCCTAGACTTTCCTGCAGCCCGGATGCATCACCGCAGGCCAAGCTGACCCCTCCGCCCCGAACCCCACCCCACTCCACCCACCCCGCCGTACTCACAGGAGATCTGCCTCCACTGCAGGGCCAGCCCGGTCCTCTGCTCAGGGCCACGGCCAGGGGCCCGCATGGTGAATGCCGCAGCTCTCACAGCCCTGCACCTCTGGGGACAGAGGAGCCCCTCGGTACGCACCACTTGTCAGTCCTGGGAGAGAGAGAAATAGAAGGCACTCAGCAGAAGCAGGCATTTGAGCCCCAGGCCCATCCAGCCCAGGGGTTAGGGAGAGGGCCCCGGTGTCTCTTTACACTCCTTGTCATTCCCTCCCCTGTCCCCAGCTACAGTTCCCTGGGTGGGGGGAAGAAGAGGACTGAGGGGGCAGGGAAACCAGGAAAGCTTGGACGTCCCTGGGGTGACAGGGGTGGCGGCAGGGGCTCAGGCAGCCCAGGAGCCCTCACCCAGGCGCAGTGCTGAGCGCTGGGCTGTGGATGGAGGCACTGCCCCACACTCTCCTCAGTGTCCCCACCCTCAGCCTCCTCGCCTCTTCTTGTTTCCTTTCCAATGTGTTGGTCTCTGAAATGTTTTCAGAGCCATATGGCCTTTCCGTGTCTCAGGTGGGGAAACTGAGGGACACCTCTGCTGGTTGAGCGGAATGAGGTCACAGCCCCGCCAGCGCTCTTACACTCTTACCATAGCCCCCGAGGAGGCAGAGAGCAGGCCCTCCGCAGACTCTGCCGCTGGGTGGCCCCCTCCTTCCCCTCACCTCCGCCTGAGGGGAGAGTCGCAAAGCTCGGCTTCCGCCTGACAGTCTGCTGCAAGACGCGCGCCAGCTCAGGGGTTCATGCTGCAGCAGCTGCTTGAGCAGGAAGGAGACAGGGACATGGAGGAGAGGGTGACAGGTCAAAGCAGGTCTCTCATCCAGAGAGGCCAGAAGGGAGGGCCTCCAGGACCTGCCTGTCCCAACCCACTGGCTCACAAGCGGGATACAGGCCCTGCTCTGGTCCCCGCTTCCTTCCCAGTATGGCCAAGGGCCCTCAGACTAGCAGAGAGCCTCCTCTCCCAGCCCCATCCGAGGGTGGGCAAGGGGACTGGGGTGGGTGCCACTACAGCTAGCACAGATCAAGGTGGGAGCCGGGTGGTGGGGTGGGGGGAGACTCTGCCAGCATCCCAGCCCCCTCTCGCTCCCAACGGCACAGAGCTATCACCCATCCACTGCTCCTGGCTGCCTCCTAGAATTTGACCTTCCTTGGTTGCCTAATTCATCCCTGGGTGATTCCTGGCTGCAGCCCCCTCTCTCTCCCCGCAGAGGCCCGGTTAATTCTGGGATCCGGGAAGCCAGTGGCGGGGTTAAGCAGACAGCTGAGGAGATGGAAAAGGCTGCTGAAATCATGGGTGAAGCAGGGTTTCCCTCAGGCATCTAGGGTCTTGCTGCAGCTCAGGGTGTCTCCCATCGAGTCTCTCCCCCACCCCCTTGGTAGCAGCTGTCTCCTGGAGGGTGTAGGAACACGCTGACAACCCAGCACCCCACAGGACCCTCAGCTGCACTCGCAGCAAGGGCAGCCTGCGCAAGGCGGGAGGGGCCCTGCCTGGTCCTGGCTTCGCCTTCCTTCTCCCCCTCTGCCACATCAGGAGGCTCTGAGTTATGAGGCCTCGCAGTGGCGTGCAGTGTGTCTCAACAACTGGGGACCGATGTGGGGTGTGGGAAGCAGCCCAGCGCCCCCTCGGCCTCCTGGACAGATCCCAAGACTTGCACTGAGGCATGGGGTGGATGCTTGGAGTAGCTCAGGTGTCGTCCCCGGCTGATCTCCCAGGGCGAGGCCAGCAGAGCTCTAGGTTCAAATCCTTGTCAGGTCAGTCCCCGAGTGTGTGGCCTTAAACAACCAGCATAAGCTCTCTGGGCCTCAGTTATCTTAGCTCTAAAAGTGATGACCATAATACTTAATGGGTAGAATTCCTATGAGGATCAATCTAATTAAGGGAGGAAAGTTAACATTTACTATAGTTAACACATAAATTACCTTAGAAGATAATTCAGGTGAATGTGCCCAGCTTGGACTTGAGCCCGTGATAGAGGTGAGGAAGCACGAGCAGCTTGCAGCAGGCCTATGGGACATCTCTTTCTGGTCCCACCAACCCCCCATGGGCCGACTGCCCTCCTCCTGAGCACGTGTTGCACTCCTGAGCCTGCCCAGGCCTGCAGACCGTCACAATGCTCACTGCAGGGCGGGCGCCCAAACACAGCCTCACAGGCCTCCGTCACAGACAGCAGTGTCCCCCTCCCTCTGTCCCTCAGGCCCTGACCCTCAGCACGATCTCTCACTCCAGCAAGAACCCTCATAGCAAAAGGTCAGAGCACCCACACGATATTAGGGCAGGTCAGTGGCCACCCATGGCATGGAGACAGTGACCAACTTGCCCAAGGTCACACAGTAGGTCAAGGATGGAATTGCAGGCTTCTGAGCCCGGCTGCTCATCCACTCCCCAGTGACTGTCCCCGAGCATGGCCCCTGTGGGGGGACACTTACACAGAGCGGTGTGCACATAGGCTCCCAGACACGTGCTTGGAGCTCCCAACACAGTATGTGGTACAAACACACACCCACAGAGAGCCGTGCAATTAGGCACGTGCTAACACACACACGCACACACGCATGCACACACGATGCCCCGCGGGCAGCCCTCCAGCACTCCTCACAGCCACCTTTCAGGCAGCAGAGTGAGGTGCCTGGCCGTTCCCAAAAGCCCCCAGCAGGCAGATGTACAGGGGCACCTCCAGCCTAGCAGTGAGGTCTGAAGTGAACCCTACAGAGCAGTCCCTACCCCAGGATGTGTTTCTGCTCAGACCCACGTGGGGTTGGGGAGCAGCGGCTGCAGAACCCCTCTCACTCAAGTCCAGGCCCTCTTTCCACCAGAGCCTCTTCTCTCCTCTTCCAAATGTCCAAATAGACACTGCTTTCATCTGCATCTACCTTTCCCCAGCCTCAGTGTCCTCCCAGAAGTGAGCCCAGGCGTTGACCAGCAAGCAGCGCTGCGTGGAGGCGGTGGCCTCGAGTGCAGGCCCGGATGCCCCATCCCCAGAAGATGTCACTATACAAAGCAAGTCAGGCAGGTCTCTGCAATGCAGACCCACAGGCGGTATCTTGCAAGGTCGCAAGACGCTGCCGGCCCTGGTATCTCTGGAGAAATGTGAAGGGAACAAGGAGCCTGGGTCCCTAAGGGGGACCTGTGCTCCCTGGGGAGCTGATCCTGCCTCCTCGGGCACCAGAGAAAGGACGCTTATGGAGATATGCGCTTCAGCCCAGCACTTTCTAGCTCTTGGCCTCTGCCCATCAGCACATCTCCAACCAAAGGGCCTCTTCCTGCCCCTGGAAGTCTCCAGCCTCACTAGGAAGGGATGGCCGACCTGAGGAAGCTTGGGGAGCAGCTGTGGCAGCCAGCGCTGGTGGGTGCTGGACTAAACTGCTGCCGTCCAGGAGGGCAGTGCCCCCGCAGGGCGGGGAATGGGGGCAGAAAGAGCCAGGGGGTCCTGCCAGAAAGATCTCCCCTCTCCAAGTCCCACAGCCTTGGGGTTCTAGATTCTGGACCTGCTCCCAGTCCTCGTGGGACTTTTTGTCCCAGTTCCAGAGGGAGAGACACCAGAGAGAAAGGGGAGCCTTCTTCACTGGGCTTTTCTGAGAGAACCAGGATTGGAGGATAAGACTGAGGAGCCAAAAGCAGTGAAGTGTGGAATTCGCTGGGAACCGGAAACATAGGGCTAAGTGCTCCAACCCTTGGCTACTATTAAAAGGGTGGGCCATGGGCCAGCAACATGGGCTCACCTAGGACCTTCTTAGAAATGCAGAATCTCAGGCCCCACTCCAGGCCAACTGAATTAGAGTCAGCATTTTAACAAGATCCAGACCATTTGTGTGCATATTTGTTTGAGAAGCACTGGGCTAGATCACTTCTCTCCCAGCTGACCCTGGCGCCCCCAGGAAGCCATGCCGGGTCCGTCTCTGGAAGCCAGGCACCAGCCAGGGAGTGTCAGTGCCCTGGGCACAGAGGGGAGGGTACTGACATGAGCGCCTCCTTCCAGAGCCTCTGTATGGGGAGAAGCCATTACCATAGCTGCGGACACCTGTGGATAGTGTTCTTTGCCCTCGTAACAACACTGTGAGGTTAGTATTATTAACACCATTTTATAGATGGCGAAACTGAGGCACAAGAAATTGAGTAACTTCCCACAGGTTAGGTAATGGAAGAACGCAGCTTTGGGCCTGAGTGGTCTGGTGACAAAGCTCCTAACTCAGCTGCCTTTATAGGCTTCCAGGTCTGTTCTGTTCCTGATCTGCTTACTCACACGGAGGTTCCTGATAGAGGAAGGGAAAGGCAGAAAAGGGAGATGCAACCTTTCGTTTGTGCAGAACCTCAAGGTTAATGGGCGTTTCCTCATTTGCTCTCTCACTGGAGCTGAGAAGACATGTGTTCTTACCCCTCCTACTGCTGGAGAAGCCAGTTCTGTGCTGCGCTGGGCTGAGACACAAGCCAGGTCTTACCCCCTCCCCACCCCTCCCTTCCCTCTGCTGCTCTCTGTCCAGAAATATCACAGGTGCAGCAGGAAAAGCTCCAGAGGCCAAGATCTGGTCAAGAGGCTGGAGGGGGTTTCCTAGAAACCATTCTGGTGGAGGGTTGGGTGCTGAGGTGAGGAGGGTGGGCTGGGAGCTCCAGGGATGCCAGGGTGGGAAGGTAGTGATGGAACAGGAGGCAGCAGTGAGAGCAGAAGGTTCCACGTGCTCCCGCTGAGCCAAGTGGGTGCAGCGTCCCCTGGAGCCTGGGGGCGGGATCCGCTTCCCCGGGGGGCGCCCATGGTGAGGAGCAGCCTGCCCTGCTCTCGTTCCCTGCAGATGCTCAGGTTAGGATGACGGAGCGCTAACCTCTCATGTCACTGCCCCAGCCATCTCTCCTAGAGATGGAGGTTAATCCTCCAAGTAAAATGGGCTCAGGCTCCAGCTAGAAACAACCAAGAAACACAACACAGGCCTGATGTCCACGCCCTTCCTCTGACACTTCTGCACGTCCATCCCCCCAAGTCAGGTGTCTAAACCACATGGCCAGTTAATGCCCATCGTGCCTCTCCCTGGGGTTCCGGGCCCTGCTGTGCACACCCTCCTGGCGTCTCCCTTTGATCAAGGCACTTAAACTCAGGATAAGGGTCCCCCTCAGCACCAGGCTCACTGAACCTAGAAGCAAAAAGGGCCTTTGCAGTCGTGCCTGCACCCCTTTTGTTCTGCAGAGGGGGAAGGCCACAGGCTAGTGAGGCAGGGCCAGGGTTAAGGCCACTTCTTAGGGCTGCAAGGACCGTGTCCTCACCACCCCAAGAGGGCAGAGAAAGACCTGGATGGCGGGATGTCCCAAGCTGAGCCACATGTGGCAGGGACCGTGCATAGCTGGGCGCCCCACCAACTGCCTCCGACCTGGCTGCCCAGGCCCTCCCAGGAAACACTGCAACCTTTTCCCTGCTGGTCATCCTCATAACACTCACTGCCCAGGCAGCATGGAAGCAAGCTTTTAAAAATCTCTGTAATTGTGCTTGGAACAGACAAACCCTTCTGGTTCTTTTTTCAATGCATGTCCACTCTTACTCCTGGCTTCCTGCACCCGGTTGCCTGGTCAGACATTCCCAATCCTAAACAGGCCCTCTGGGGTGCGGGACAGAAAAGCCCCCAGGTTGCTCCTCATGAACAAGCCTCGTGCTCACTGAAGCCCGGCTTGGGGACTGGGGCTGGGCTGGCAGGGGCACAGGAGGCCTGATTTGGGGGTAGAAGGAGGGAGGCCCCGAGAGGGGAGACACTGCCTGTGCTTAAACTCCTTCCCCCCTCCCCCCCCCAGAGTGCCCCAGATACCCCGACATTACATAAACTCCCTGTCCCCTTGGCAGGCCGCCCACTCAGCCCAAAGCGGCCCCCAGGTCCTGACTTAGGTGCCTGGGAAATGGAACAGGGTCTGCTTATCTTGGCCTCAGCCACAGCTTCCAGCCAAGCCCCAAAGAAACCATATCAGTTGCCTAAAACACCTCCCCCCTTCTCCTGCCACCCCCGGCTGGCTTTCCTGGTCTCCCTCTCTGGTGGTGCCAGGGACTGCGCCAGCAGGGAGGTGGGGTGGGAAGAGCAGGAAGCTGCTGTGGGTTTCCCTCCAGGCTGGACTTCCCCCGCCCATCTCCACGTGCTCGGCTTCCCTCCCCTCCCCCGGCCGATGTAGCTATCTAAGCTGCAGAGTGTCAGTCCGAGTCACAGCCAACATGCCTGGACAGCCAGGAGCCAATCTCACCACCATCACCCCCAGAAACAGAGCACAGCTCAGGGAGGAGACAAAGCTGCGACCTGGAACTGAGAGGGAGGGGGGACTCCTAGTTAGACCCTCTCTCTGCTTTGTCAGTATGGACCTCGGGGCTGCTGAGAGGGGCTGTCCTACTCCCACTTGGGTGCCCAAGCCCCACCGGGGTGGGAAGCCAGGTAGGCATCGCCTGTTTGCAGACCACCTGCTTCCCCTAAGCTAAGCCCACAACCCCACTAAAGCCTCAGGTGGGCTGGGAGCAAGGCCTTGGGCTCGCCAAGGAAGAGTGCGAGGCTCTTCTCCCTCATCCACTCCCAGCCACGCCCCCACCAGGGTGGCTTCCCCCACAGCTCTGTGGGCCCACGTCCAGCCAGGCAAGGGCTCCTCTGCAGCCTTGTCCAAGGGCAGCTGCCTGAGGGCCACGACCCCGTGCGGAAGGCACCCTGCGAAGAGGCCGGGAGCGTGAGGTCTATTCCTGTGCCTCAGCCATCGCAGCCCTGCAGCCTGCCACCCCCACCCGGCGCCACCCTGCTCTGTACCAGCCCTGTCACCAGCACCTTTTTCCCCACAGAACCCAAGTTCCTCAGGCTGTCTGCTGAGCCAGGCGTGCAGACGGCTCAGGGCTCTTGGCTGGCTGTCCCTGTGCTGCAGGGACTGGTTTCTGTGCCACACAGGCCTGTCCTCTGGCACTGGCACTGCCCTCCTCCCACCTGTCCTTCCCTAGCTCCCCCCTGCCCAGCAGCATCCCAGCTCATGTCCCCGACACTGTGAGGTCAGAGCTCCCCGTGCCCCGGACCTGTGGGCTGCCCAGATGGCCGCGCCTGAGCACTTCCCCAGCCCCAGCAGTTGCCCCCAGGCAGGAGGCGGCAGCGCCTATCTATCTGTGCAGGGCGAAGACACCCAGCAAAGATGGGACCCGAGTCCCCCTGCCCCAGCCACCCTGTATCCCCACGAGTCCTTTATTCCTTCCCACCAAAGCACAGCACTTACCGTTTTTTGCCCTGACCTCGAGCTCCTGAAATCAAGTAGCTGTGAACTGTGCAATGAGCCGCTCCTGGGATTCCTGGAGAAACCCAGGCAGCACTGCCAAGCAGAACGCAGTGGGCACTGAGCCCCCGATCCAGCGGGAGCGGGGACCTGGCACGCAGCACACGGCGCGGGGAGAAGGAATGCCTGCCGCCGCCGCTGCCAAGGGGACAGGGCTGCTGGGTCAATAACAAACTGAGAGGGAAAGAGGGAGGGACAGAGGGAGACAGAGAGGAGAGGGGAAGAAAAGGGAGAGGAGGAGAGAGCACGCGCGAGCAAAGAGACGGAGCAATGGAGTGACAGCTGGGGGTACATCTGTGATGACAGCGACGGTAGCACACAGAGGCGGAGGGGCGCGCGCATAGAGGCGCGCGCGCACACACCGGAGGCGCTCTGGCCGGGCCTGGGAAAGCAGCGCTCACCCGTGAAATGCTCACATTTCAGTGGAAAAAGGGCTCATGGATTAATCGCTCCCAACTCCAGGGACGAGAAACGCTGCTTCACCCTGCATCTCCACCTTCTTTCCCCTCCCCACGCTGCTCCAGGCTCTCCCCGCCCCTGGCCGCCGCTCCAGCTCAGCCTCTCCCCTCTCTTCCTTTCCCTTTGAGGAAAGAGGGTCAGGACCCAGCTGGCAGAGAGGCCCCTGGGAAGCTGGGTCTGTCTCCGGTTCAAACATGTGGGGCGGGTTTCTCCCGTTCTGCCTGTGGAGAAGGAAAAAACTGAACCCCCTCAGTCAAAGGGGCGTGGATTTCAGGCAGGGTAACTGGAGGGGCTCAGAGGGGGGCCATCTGCCTGCTGCCCTCAAAAGGAGCCCGGAACCTCACAGCCAGGGTCACAAAGTCACTCAGAGGTCACTGAGCCTCAGTGCCCACAGTCCCAGGCTATTTAGTGAAGCAAAATGTCAGGACCTGCTGGCACTTGTGGGCACATTGTCTGTGGGGCTCTGAGGCGAGGAAGATTTGTATTCAAGGACTCAGAGGCCCCTTTACCAACCAATCAGGACAAAGACACTGGAGAAACTGCTATTCTAAGAGATGGCTAGTGTCTGAGCCAAAGGCAAAGGAAGCTAAGCCAATGGCCTGGGCATTGACCCCTAAATGACCCTTCCTTGCAGTTCTTAAAACCAGCCCAAGAAGCAGACTGCAGAAAGCGTGGCGTGTTGGCAACATCAGCAATATCAGGGGTATCCCAGTGTCCCTCATACAGTTCACATACTTTCCTGGGGGGCTCACCATCAGAACTGGGGGTGGGGTTTGAGAAACCCCCTTGACTCAAGACACCCCTAACCAGATGCTCCTGCGCCCCGCTTTCTGTCTGCTCTCTGGGCTACTTAGCAGTGGAGGGCCCGGGCTGCTGTGCCAGGAAGAGAGAGCAGCTCCTACCTCCTGAGAAGCCCCCTCTCAACTGCACAGATGTCGCGTGCATTTTGCCCTTCAGGCTAAATGCTCCCACCTACCCCCAAACACACTGCCCACTTTGCAGCCCCAGAAAGTGTGTCCTTCCCTGAAGCTGGAATGCCTTCCTGAAAAACTAAACCAGAGCCTAGGGTCCTCCGTGATGTTTCCCTGGTTAGTCCACAGACTTGATCTTCTCTGATCTATAATCTTTCTTTGGGCCACCCTGTAGTTATCACAGAAAATGTCTGGCCACTTTCTGTGGTCAGCGTGCCCGCTTTCCGACACTGTGAGCAGGTGCAGAGGAGGGCCTCGGCCTCCCCCAGCCTGCTGCTAAAGAGGGTGGGGAGGGAAGGCAGAATCAGGCCGCTGCCCATCAACTAGCTCGGTGATCTTCAACCTTTTTCACCTCGTGGCACACATAAACTAATCATTAAAATTCTGCGGTACACCAAAAAATATATTTTTTGCCAATTTGACAAAAAAAAAAAAAAATAACAGCTGTAATTTTGATTCATTCACACCAGGCAGCTATTTTATTGGCTGTTGTCATTTTTTTACTTGACACTCTAAGGGAAAAGAGGTCAGTGCCCCTGACTAAATGGTCAGGTTTTGCATGTTTTAAAAATCCTTGCCACACACCGGCTGAAATCGCTCAACCAGCTCGCAGCTGGTTAAGTAACCGACAGCCCTGGGCCTCGGTTTTCTGCCTGTAGAATGGGGAAGGAGAGTGACTGAGACCTCTGGTCTCCCTTCTGGCAGTGGCACTCCGGGATCCAAGTATTCGCTGAGCATCTGCAGACTCCCCAGCTTGTATTAGGAAAGGTGGCCCCTCCTAAGGCTGCAGTCTGTGGGCTGAGTTATCCAGGCAGAGGACGAGGAAGGACAAAGTAGATATGAGACCTAGGAGGTAAAATATGGAGCTTCTTACTCCTCGGAAGTACAGCCCCTAACAGGGACCATTTTTCTGTGTGTGTGTGCAGGTGTGCGTGAGTGTGTGCATGCACAGCTGTTTTGTTTTGCCTTCTGTTATGACAAAGCAGCACTGAAGTGACAGCCAGGATGCAGAGCAAAGAGGTTCATCTTGATAAGCCGCCTGCCGCCTGGGTCTTATTGAGGCTCTTTGTTAGGTTGTCTGCCAGCCAAAGAGATCTTAAAGAAAAGCTCCTTTGGAAGAAAACCCGAGATCACTGTGGAGAAACAGGCAGGGCAGGGGGGGCGGCCAGGGGGCGGTCAGGCTGGGCTAGGGCCAGGAGAAGGGGGTCTAATTTCTCCTCTATCAGGTTGTAGCAGGTCCCTCCTGGGATCAAGATTAATGTCTAAAAGACTCACATGCAGAGGCATGAAGGGGGTCTCTTAATAACCCACAAGGGGTGGGGGAAGCTACCCTCAAAGGCCAAGTGCTTCACATTCCCTGGGCCCTTTTGCTTAGATTTCTGCCTTCACCATGGGTTAGTACTGAGCCTGCTATGAATAGTGCCATGAGATAGCAGCTCCTGCACACAGTAGGCTTATTAGGAGGTGCTGAGAGGAGGGCGGCCAGCCTGGTGCTGCCCCAGGTGAAGGTCCACTGAAGAGGTTCTGACCATAGCTGACAACCCAAGGTAGCAAGTGACCAGAACAGGAACCGAAGCTGCCCCGGTGGGTCCCCCAGGAGAGAAGGCTGGGCTTTCTCAGTGTCTGAGGAGGAAAAGCACCATTCGGGTTGTGAGGCAGGAGCTGAGCAGAAAGATCTGAAATGATTGAAGCCAAGGGGTACATGCTGTTAGGTCTGGCAGAACACAGTGGATTTGTTGCCAAGGACGTCCCCATGCTCCCCCCGCCTTCCCCATTCTGTACCAGCCAGCATCTGACAGCGCTTACCGGGAGGAAGTCCTGTGCATGGCACCTAAATTCCCCATTTGTTAGTGGATTTCCTCCTAGGTCTTCGAGGGAATCAGAGCACAGCTAAATCTCTCAGGTTTAAGTCCAGCTCTGTATAGCAAAAAAGGAGTTCAGCAAGGTCTTGAACCCCAGAGGCAAGGTTCAAAGAGATCTTGGAGAATTTGCTTCCCAATCAAGCGACTGATGCAATGGAATAAAGTATTTCTTTATTGCCCCTCACTATTCTATGTGCTATTGCATGTGCTAGGGATCAGAGTTCAACCCCCTTGCCTGCTACTAGCCGTTCTAATGGTACGAGACAGACAATAAATGAGAATAAAATAAATAAACAAGCCATATTGCTTAGAAAATAAAAAGAGTGATGAGATAGAGAATAAATAGCAGAGAGGAGGACCGCTGTCTTTGGGGAGGTCAGGGAAGACCTCTCTAAGACGTGATGTTTGGGCTGAGATCTGATGACAAGAATGAGCCAGCCATGTAAAGTTCTCAGGGAAGAGCATTCCAGGAGGAGAGAACGGCTGAGGCAAATGCCCTGGAGTGGGAACAAGTTGAGCATGTTTGAGGGAGAAAGTGATTCCCACTGAAATCAGAGACATCACAGGGCCCGCTCCTTAGAGCCTTGTAGGTACTATCACAAAGGAGTTTAGATTTTGTTCAAAGAGCAGTGGGAAGGCATCAGAAGCTTTTCAGCAAGGGAGTGACATGATTCGATCTTTAGAAAGCTCGCTCTTACAGCCATGTGAAGAACAGATCAGGGAGGGCAGGGAAATCACTTAGGGGTCTGTTGCATTAAACCGAGTGACAGAGGGGATGGTTCAGCCCAGACGGGTAGCAGGGACAGAGGAAAGTAGTGGACGGACTCATACAGAATAAGGTCTGCAGGACTTGGATGGGATGGAGGAACATGACATTAGGTAAAGAATCTGCCCCCAAATGGGGAAATCTCAAAGAGGGTGAGGTTTTGGGAGAAAATGTCAGAGTTAGATTTTGAACATGTGTTAAAATGCCTATGGTTGACTCAAGTGGAGATGTCAGCAGGCAGCTGGAATGGCCTAAATTCTGCAAAGGACACCTAGAAGCAAAGGACCCAGAACCCGCCTTGGAGGAGCTTATAGTCCAGCTGTGAGACCAAACTCAGCAGGGGAGAACTTTCTCTGTGCCCCACTCCTGCTATTTCTACCTGACAGCCCCCAATACCTGCTCCATTAGGGAAGAATTAACCCCACCCTCTCAACTCCCTCTGTTAGAATCATGAAATTTCTTCCAGCTCAGAAGTGTCATGCTTCTATAAGACTTGGCACTGACCAATAGGTAGAGAGGCAGAAATAGCCTGAGAGCTCTTTGACCCACAGGGGTTAAGGACTGAGGTAGGTAAACGTCCCTAAATCCCACAGAGCTGATCATTCTAAGCATTAGAGTGACTCCCCTCTGACAATTTTTAGAAAGTTCCTCCTCTTTCACTCAGTCTTTTCCTACATGTGAAAGAAATCTGTGTAAAGTGAATATTGAGACTATCAAGAGTACTCTTAAAAGGAAATACAAGGGGGAGTGACTAAGGGTCCCCTGCAGCCTCAGAAGGAAAGAGGCGTGAGAGGGACAAAGGGCGTGGCAGCCAGGGTGGCTGATCACACCTGCTGTGTCTGTGCCTCTCATGAACCTAGAAGTGGGTCCACTTGTTCCCTTCTCTGCTACTCCTTTCAGCCGCCTGGACCTTGAAGCAGCAAAGAAGGCCCCATAGAATTCAAATGTTTCCATATCATAGGACCATTCAAGAAGGCAAGGCTGAGTTCCAGCCACTGAATTGCCAGGACACCGCAAGGGGCCTCTCAGGGCCTTGGCTTCTTGATCTGTAAACGCAGAGCTTAGAGTTGCATTGTCCCACATGGTGGCCACCAGCCATAGGTAGCTAGTTAAATTTAAATTATTCAAAATTAAATAAAAAATTTAAAACTCAGGTCCTCAATCACAGTAGATACATTTCAAGGACTCAATAGCTGCATGTGACTAGTGGCTACTGTGCAGGACAGTTCAGACCTAGAACAGCTTCATCATCTCAGAAAGTTCAATCAGACGATAATGTTTTACAACAGTGGTTCCCAAAATATGATTCCTGGACAGCAGCATCAGCATCACCAGGGAGCACTAAAGAAATGCAAATTCTCAGGTCCCACCCCAGACCTGCTGAATAAGAAACTCTGGGAATATGGTTTTAACAAACCTTCCAGGTGATTATGATGCCTGCTAAAGTTGGAGGATCAAAGCTCTAGTCCAATCCAGGGCTGGAACTCTGGCCCCTTGACCCTTCCCTGGTGTCTCTGTCTCTGTCTCTGTCTCTCTCCCTCTCTCTGTCTCTTTCTGTCTCTAGGATCATTTCATATTGAAAAAAAGAAAAGGATACAATGCTGTATTTCTATGCCATACTGGAAGTCCAATCCATTTTTTTTTTACAGATTTATTTTATTTTATTTATTTTAAAGAATGGGGAAGGAAGGGAGAAAGAGAGGGAGAGAAACATTCATGTGAAAGAGAAACATCAGTTGATTGCCTCTCATATGAGCCCTGGCTAGGGACCAAATTCACGACAATCCAGGCACGTGCCCTGGACAGGGAATCAAACCAGCCACCTTTCTCTTCGTGAGATGATGCCCAACCAACTGAGCCACACAGGTCAGGGTGTTCCAGTCTATTGTAGAAGAGCCACCTGAGCCTCAGGAAGTTAGGATGATTGTGATGGAAAATCTCTCCAATGAATGCCATCGGGGTAACTGTAGAATGTCCCATGAAAACAGCGTAATGGCTGGGGACCCAGGTGCATTCCCATTTTACAGATGAGGGAACTGAAGCCAAGAGTGGGCAAGCGCTTGCCTCTCAGGTCTGTCGGACCACTGGGGCTGCGTCAGGCCCAGGGGACAGAGAGGTTAAGAGCCTGAGAGACAAACTCATGAGTCTTGGTTCAGTATTTAGGGACTAGGTGACTTGGGCAAGCTGTGTCATCTCTGTAAGCCTCCGTGTCCTCCGCTGTGAAGTCTGAATAATAATAGAACTGGTCTGCTGTGTGGATGAAACAAGCTCTTGGACATAAATGTCCCTGGCACTCAACACTTTCTCGATATTATTATATCAGGCAGTAGGAAGTCAGCCTAGGTTTTTACTCTTTCTTTTCAATATAAGCTGCTTTTCCCCCCTATTCTTTGGCCCTAAATTTTGCTACATCTAGTCAGGGACCAAAGAGGCCTGGGTGGCCTTTGTAAGTGGCATCACCGAAAGAGTAGTTTTTGCAGGCTGGACAGTCTCTAGTATTCTGGGACCTGCCTGCAAACCTGGGAGAGACTGGGTACAAGAGGGGTTGTTTCCTCCGCATGGAGATCTAGGAGGCCCCATGTACCCAACCCACAGTGGCCATGAATTCCCATCCACTTTTGGTCACATGACCTTGAACAAATGGCTCTGTCTCTCTGCCTCTACTTTTCCATCTGTGGGACAGGGGAAACCGTGTGCCCAGTGCACCCACCTTGATTTCCCCAAGATCCAAGGATGAATGCCATTCTCAGTGTTCTCTAGAACGCAGGCCGCGTCCCACTCTTGGACCATTTTCGGGTATCGTCTGCCGCAGAAAGACAGAAGGCACCAGCCTCTCTTCTTTTCTCCGTGACCCTGCCCCCCAGGAACCTCGGCCCGCAGGCTGCCATCTGACTCAGCTCTCCCTGCCCCTTCTCTGCCCTGGTGCTGTCTCTCCCCTCAGTTCCTGATGATGCACCCCCTCTCTTTAACTGGAATCTATTTTTTTCTCTCACTGTCTCCTCCCTCCCACCACCCACCTCCCCCAAAACAGCGGTGGGCATCCAAATGAAGCTGGACTTCCTGCAGCGCCTGTTCTGGGCGGCCACACGGCAGGTGGGTGTGAGGGTGGCGGGGCCGGGTCAGAGCCAGGGAGCTCCCGAAAGAGTCCACGGTGAAGAGGGGCTGGCACTTCCAGACCCACTCCCCCTGCCGCCCCACTGCCTCTCAGCCCACCTCCTGAGCCCCTGGCAGCTCCTGGATCCTCCCCTCTGCCTTTCTCGGCTCCCCGTGCCTCCGCTGTGGCCCCAGCCTCCCGTCCCAGCCTCCCCTAGGCAGTGTTCTCTCTCAGCTTAGACCTGGGGCAAAGGGCAGGACACTGCGTCCTCTCTGGGCCTGGCCTGCCTTTCACTATGTCTTCGCTGCCCCAGATCCCTGCACACAGCAGAGTGAGGAGACTGCCCTCCTCGGTCCCTCCAGCCAAGATCCAAGCCATGGCTGTGGTCTACCTGCTAAGATCTCAGCCTTACCTCTGCCCTTTCCATTCCACCTCTTGCTTTCCTGCCGTGGCTCCCCAGAGTCCACAGACTTGGTTCCTCCTGCGCTTTCTAGCTCCTGCACAAGCTCCTGCAGCCCCAAATCTGCCCCCATGGATGGAGCCTCCTGTGTTCCATGGCCCCCGTGCACTTGTCACTTGTTGCTGTGCCCTCACTTTGAGCAAGTTCAGGGAACCAGAGAGTGAAGATGGAAGGGATGGCAGGGGGAAGGAGCAGCAGCCCCGTAGCCTGGGGTCAGCAACCACATCATACAGGGTGACCAAAAACAGCAAGAAGCCACCCCACGAGCCTTTCTAGCAATACAGCTGACTGTATCCCCTTAGCCGCAGCTGCTGGGGCCGGGGCTCCCTCTGGGAAGGCTGACCCAGCCAGCAAGGGTCCTGCTTCAGTGCCCCGCCCCCACCACCAGACACTGCCACACACATGTGCACACACCATATACACCATGTCAAATACAAGCATGCACATGCCCCACAGATACTGACATACACTATACAGACATCACACACCACACATACGCTACGCATACCAAATATATACCATGTATACCACACATGGATACACACCAAACATAGATACCATAGACACACGTGTGCACGTACCACTAGTATACCGTAAACACACATCGCCAGTCCCCACACATCGATGCACAACACAAATGCACCCCACACACAGCACTCCCACAATCACATGCCCCATATCTACCATACGAACGCCCAGGCATACACACACACCTGATCATTTCTCTTCTTCCTTCCAGTGCGGTGCTGGGGATGGGCTGTGCCCAAAGAGCTGTCAGGACAGCGTAAGTCCTTCCCCAGTGTGAAGAGGGTGGAAGTGCGAGCCACCGGCCCCTCAACCCACATCCTCTTGATGGGTCGGCCCCCCTCCCACCTAAGTGCTCTTCTTTCCTGCATGCTGGGCTCCACAGAGGGCACCTTCTCCTTAGGCACGGAGGCCTGTCTTCCCAAATGCCAGGACAGGCAGGGGACCTGGGGGTCGGGGGTAGGGCCTGACCTCACCTCCCTTCTGGGTTTCTCCCCAGGACCTGGACTGCTTTGTCATCGACAACAACGGCTTCATTCTGATCTCAGAGAGGTCCCAAGAGGTAAGGCGCTGGGGAAGTGGACCTAGGGGGTGGTCCAGTCATCCAAGAGCCCTGGCTTCAAAGAAAGGGTTAATGTCCTCAGGAAGTAATACTGGTTTAGAGCCAATTAGAGTGAAAGGCCTGAAGAAAATGGGATCTCCTCTTGAAACCAAAGCCACCATAGCAAGATTACAAAGTTCAGACACTTTTCAACCCAGATGATCATAGAAAATACTACTTTTTAATTTTGTCTGTAACTACTCAGGCCTTCTTCCCTGGCTAGTGGGGAAAATATCCACATAACGAGGAGAGGTTCAGCAAAGCGACCTCTCAGGCCCCGTTTGCTTTCTGTGCTGAGGCCAGCGGAGGGTGGGCGTGGCCTCACCCAGGGCACCTCCTCGCAGAGCCCTGCGCGCCTCCCGCTGCTCCAGGGCTCCTTAGCTCCCTCCCGCTGTCCTGTCCCCCTCCCCTGGTGTCCATTCAGGCTGCCTTAACAAAAAATTACTGACTGGGAGGCTTATAAAACAACCGAAATTTATTGCTCACCATTCGGGAGGCCAGAAATCCGAGATCAGGATGCCAGCATGTGGAGTGAGGCCCTCGTCCGACGGGGTCACACACTTCTCCTTGTGTCCTCACGTGGTAGGAGGGACAAGGGGACTCTCTGGGGTCTCCTTTATGAGGGCATTCAAACCACTTCTGAGGGCTCTGCCCTCATCACCTAATCACCTCCCAAAGGCTCCACCGTCAACCATCACCTTGGCGGTTAGGTTTCAACACGTGAATTTGGGGGCACACATTCAAACCATAGCATCCCCCGCTTCCACCTTCACAAGGCCCAGAGGGCCAGGCCTTCCCGTTTTGTGCTGTCTTCCTGCCTGGACCTCCCTCGTGGAAAATTCTAGCCCAGCAAACGCGCCGCTCAGTTCGCAAGCGAGGAAATAAAGCGTGGAGGCGATCCTTACGCAGCAGCCGGCTGGCATGTATCATCTTCCCCAGACTCAGGGAGCCTCCCTGGACCCCATGTGTGCTCAGAAAGGCAAAACAGAAGGTGCAATTGTAATTTTGTTTTGCCAAGCCCCACAGTGGGCCCCGAAATTAATTATTTATTTAGCCAGGAATCAAACTTGAACCAAACCTGAATACCTTCATGTGAAGTGTTTCCTGGAAACAAGCCGGGAGTCTCGAAGTAGATTCCATGCTAAACCTCAATGGAAGGGAAATGGTATTTGGTCCAGAGTGAGCTTTTCCCCTGATGAGATAGGTATGGGATTGGGCGAAGCAGCTTCCATTAGCCATGCCTCAGTTTCCTCCTCTCTAAAATAAGGGGCTGCACAACATGATGTCTAAGGTCACTTCAAGTCCCGGGGCTCTCAGTGCCCGGGCACCGGCAGGGCTGGGCTGGGGAAAGGCCATGGCCACGGACGCCTCCTGCCCTGGCCGCGCTGGAGCCGGGCTCAGGGTGCGATCCGAACACTGCAGGAACCAGGGCGCAGGAAGGAGACGTGAGAAAGAGGGCAACTGAGGAAGGGGTCCCAGTGGGTCATGGAATCGGACTCCTTGAGGAGGGGTTTTGAATTACCCACTTCTGTGGAGCCTGTCTCAGCAGCAGGAGTGAAGAGGGAGATGGTTTTACCCATTTTCCTCCTTAGCAGGAGCTGGGGCCTGGCTGACCCCCATGACGCCCCTTGCAGGACTCACACTGCTGGTCGTGCCTTGCAGTTCCTCGGGTGCCTCTGCTTTGCCTCCTTGTCCCTTTCATGCCCCTCTTGGCCATGTCACTCTTCCCTGGACAGAGCGTCAGCTCAGTTAGTATTTCTTAGTTGCTCTTGGAGAAAATGGGTGACGTCAGAAGCTGAAACCCGTGGTTGGAAAGAGGTTTCGGGCCTATCTGATGCTCTCAATCATTTATGCGCTGACCCCTGCTGCCCTGGGGAGCTGAGATGGGCAGTGTCTCCAAGTCCCTGTGGTGTTGGCTTTCAAGAGCCAGAGTTTCAGAGAGAGTGTGGAAGGCTGGACACTGGGGAGGAGAGCGCAGGGCGCAGGGAGGAGGAGAGCGCAGGGCGCAGGGAGGAGGAGCCACGCCCCAGAGGCTGAGCCGGGGAGCTGGAGCCATAGGCAATGGTCCTTGAGCGCAGAGAGCACGCGCAGGCTTTAGGGCCGGACGCCACACCTGCCCAGCGCCGCCACTGTAGCGTGAGGCAGCTGCCGGCAGTGCAAAAGGGAGAGGTGTGGCTTTGTCCCAATAGAAATTATAAATACTTAAATTTGAATTTCACATAAGTTTTATGCCATGAAATATTATTCATATTTTGATTTTTTTCCAACCATTTGAAAATAGAAACACATTCTTAGCTCAAGGGCCAGGTTGGGCCCATGGCCATCGCTGGCTGGTGCTTCCTAAGAGGCGGCCGGGCAACCTGGCAGGGAGCGGGGCCCAGGGCAGGCACTCCCTCCCCAGGCGCCCTTTGCGGAACTCACCGTGGCCCTGTTGAACACTTGCTCATGTCTTCATGAATCATGACGCCGCTGGGTACAGCTTTGGGTAATATGTGATAGCAAACAGTTATTCAGAGACTTACATTTTATAAAGCATGTGTTTACTTAGCTTATTTAACCCATTTTCTTAGCTATTGTATTATTTCATAATATGGTATGGATATTTTTCCAAGGATAGTTTTACAAATCCTTGGAAAAATGAAGCTGAGTACAAATGACATGAAATCCAATCTTCACTTAATAATGTTGGGACCTACCAGAGACTCCTCCAGAGCCCCAGCTCCCACGGTGCCTGGTCACCCTCGCCTCTGTCACAGCCCGTTGCTCCCCCGCCCTCCTCTCCGCACTGTGGGGCCCCAGGAAAGGCGGGGTACGGCTTCCTCTGACCAGCTCTGGGGATGTTCTCCGTCTCATTTCACACCTGAGGAACACTGAGGCTCTGCAAGGTTAGGTTATTAACCCCCAAACTCATAGCCACAGAAAAGCCAGACTTACAAGCGAAGAGTAGTGATGTAAAGGGGAAGGAGGTTCTGGAAAAGACCTTGTGGGAAGGGAAGTGAAGCTGGGAGAGCGTGGGTTCCGATGGAAATGGAGAATTTGTTGGGCAAGGTGGGTAAACCCAGGGAGAGTGGCCTTCCCCGGAGAGCGTTTCAGGCTGCAGGTCTGGGTCTAGGGCAGCCGTCCGGCCAGGTCCTGCCCAGCTCGCACTGCTCGTGCTCGGGGCAGAGTTCCGTCACCCTGCTGCTCTGGTCTGAGGTGCACGAATCAGGACCAATGCCCTAGGCCCCTGAGCGCCCAGGCCAGAGGCACCAGAGTTTCAAGTAATGCCCAGCAGGTGTCCAGGCCAGGCCATCCATCCATCCACTTTTCTTTTTTATTTAAATTAATTCATTCAATAACTCTGTAGTAGTTATCAATTGCTGCACAACCAATTACCCGAAAATGTAATAACTTAAAACCACAAGACTTATACCGTCTCCCAGTTCCTGGGGGTGACGAACCTGAGTGTGGCTTAGCTGGGTGAGTGTGGCTCGGGGTCCCTCCCAGGCGTGCAATTAAGGTGCCAGCCAGCTCTGCTGATTCAAGCCATTTCAAAGCTCACCTACAGGAGGCTCAGCTTTCAAACTCGCCCCCAAGGTGGCTGGCAGGTTCCGGTTGCCAGGTGGGCTTGTCCGGAGGGCGGCTCTCACCCGGCAGCCGGCTCCATCCGAGCCGGGGAGCCAGGAACAGAGCGTGGAGGGCAGGACAGAAGTCAGCCTTGAGAACCTCATCTCAGAAGTGACATCTGGTCACTTGTACCATGTTCCATTCCCTAGAAACAAGTCACTAGATGCAGCCTGCCCTCAAAGGGATGGGCTTACACAAGGGCGTGACTAGAAGAGGCTGGGCCATTGTGAACCATCTCAGAATCATCCCACCACATATTCCTACCCACCCACCCAAACTTGCCCGACCCTCAGCATACTCAGGTGCCACCAACGGCCACAACTCTGGGCTTTCTCCCCGCCCCTGACCCCTTTTATCCCTAGATTTCAAAGTGTGGAGGGAGACCAGCAGCATCTGCAGCATCTGGGAGTTGATAGAAATGTCTGTTCCCAGGCCCCACCCCAAACCAAAGCAGTGAGAAACTGCGGGTGGCCCCCCGCCCGTGCTGCGGTAAGCCCACCGGCGGTTCCGATGGGTGATGAAGTCTGAGAGCCGCTGCCTAGGCCTGAATGCTGGTCGCTGCTGATCTGGATGCACTTTGCAGACTGGACTAATGTGCCAAAAGGTCCAGGCTACTTCTTGGCCCTGCCAAGGTCCATCCAGGGCCTGGGGAGAGAAGCCTGTCTCTGCTCCAGATGCAGTGATTCTTTCCAGACAGAGTTCTTCCCGGCCCTTCCTCAGGGAGACCCTCCTACCCAGCCAATCGCGGGAGTGCAGAAGCCCAGGGCACCCCCTGCAGCCTGCCTGAGGGAGGGGCGCTTGGCTCTCCTCGACCTGGTGTTGTTCCCGTCCTAAGGATTAGATATTTGGCCCCTCTCGGCTTCTTTTTCAGCCCAGGACTCATTCTTATAATAAAGAATTACAAATGATGTGACTACATACATCTATTTGGGGCTTAGACAGAGCACAGACAGTAAGGGCCACAAAAGTAACAACAGTCCTGTGGATCTTTGTAATGTTTACAGTGGATATGTCACTCTAGTTTTATGGACTCTGAGCCCCGTCATTTGCCTGTGGGTAACACCCACACATGGGAACTTCAAAATGGACCTCAAAGGGGCAGCAAAATCAGACACCCCATTGTGGCATCTCTCTCTAAGGGCTGAAATCTCTCAGAAGGCATAGCACCTCCTCCCTCTCCACCGCAGCCCACAGAGCCGGTGCCTGCAACACCCTCGGACCATGGCAACCCTTCCTGCCCTCACAGGGCCTCTGACGTGCCTGTCCTGGGCTTCAGCTGTTCCCTTGGGCTCTCTCCCACCCCCCCTCCCTGCTCCACCTTCCCTACCTCCCCAAGTCCTTTGTCTTCCCTGCACAAGTGTAATAGCAGGCTGTCTTCAAGTCACTCCCCGGTGCTACGGTTGTGGTGGGTGCAGGAGAAACCTCAGCCTCCCTGCCCTGCACGTGCTCCTGAGCTTGTCCCTCCAGCCCCCAGCTCCTCACCGCCTGTCTCAGCATGTCTCTGGGCCCCCTGCACTCTACCTTCCTAGGGCCAGAGCACCCTCATTTGGGCAGCTTGAGCTGGGTGCCTCCCAAGTGAAATCCAGCAGGTCACCTAAACCCCAGACCGCGGCTGGCAGCAGAGGCTTTCCAGGAGTGCAGAGCTGGCGCCCATGCCGCCACACCCTTCCTGGCCCCACTGTGGGGCCAACGGGCCAAAGGTGCTTGCCAAAAGACCGGGAAGCTCAGGGGACCCAGGCAAGGCTGTGCAGCAGGAAGGGAGGAAAGGACTGGCCCCCACTAGGAGCCGTGCACAGTGACTTCACTCTGGTAATTCATCTATCCTCACAGCCATTGAGAGTGTTTTCCCATTTTTAGCGAAGAAACAGGCTGTCCCTGGGTAAAGAGGCCGTGAGACACTCACTCCATTCCAACACTAGAATGAATCTTTGCCTTACTTCACCCTCTGGCCCCCTTTCTCTTTGGGGAGGGCAGACTCACACAGGCATGCAAATGAGCCCGTGTCAAGGGGCTGCAGCCAGCCAGCGGGACACTCACCAGTTCTGTATTCTTGGCTGCCACATGCCCCACCTGCTTCCTGCTCAAGGCTCCCGGGTGGGACCTCACAGGACATCACCTCATTATAGACTGTAAACTTAGGAAGCCCCAGAGCCCCTGCTCCAGCCCCAGAGTGCAGCAGCCCAGTGGGCCACTGAGTCTGTGCGGGTTATCCTCAGTGAAAGCGGTTCCCTGCCCTGGCGGGAGCAAAGCAGGCTGGCAGGTAGAGCCCCAGGAGTGCTAGGGCTGTAAAGAGGCTATAGTCTCCCTGCTGTGCTGTGCTGTGCTGGGTGCCCCTCTGCATTCAGTCTGGGGGGGCCCTAAACTGACAGGGTACGCAAGGTGGAATGGTTGGACCTTGGCTTTCCAGGTTCAGGAAATTCAATCAATTTACGTCTCTGAGGCACTGATTCACTCTTAGTTCAAATGAAACTGTATCAGCTAGGAATAGTGTTCTACCGCTGGGAATAGAATCCCTGCTACAGTGACTTGAGCAAATTAAAGGCTTATTCTCTTACATAAGGAATGGATGAAGGCAGCCCTGGCCTGGTATGGTATGGTCACCAGGTGCCACCATCCTCAAGATCACAACGTGGCTACAGGGACTCCTGCCTTCTAGTCCACTTTCCAGACAAGAAGGAGGGGGAGGCCACAGCCCTGAATGAGGTCTCCCCCGCACCCGCCGCCACTGCCCCCCCCCCCAGATTCTTCTCCCTTTCAACAGATTCCAGGAAGTCCTATGACTTGCTCACATTTCATTGGCCAGCCCCAGCAGCAAGGGAGGCTGGGAAACGTAGTCTTTCAGTGGAGTATATTGCTACTGTAATTAAAGCAGGATTGCCCTACCAAAGAGAAGGATGAATATTCTCTGCCAGCATGACATATCCTCGAAGTCAAGTTGTTTATTTACAAAGGAGGATACATTATTTCCAGTGTCTAGAAGCTTGCCTTACTCTCAGGGACTTCTCAAGTGTTTAGACACTTGATTCAGGTTTTTGGTGAATTAGCCTTGAATTAGGGAGGAGACAGGACAGCATCATCAGGAGCCTCACTGCACTTTCTCAGGGAGCAGAACACTCACACCGTTCATGCATTCCCTTCTCGGTTCGCTCACACCTTCCTTCAGCAGATCACACTCCGAGTAATACCGTGAACGAGCCCCTGTGTGGCCTGTGGGGAGCAGGTGTGGATTTCTGCCCGCGAGGATGCCGCCATCAGGTGATGGAGGAACACACATGCAGTCCACAGAACAGCAGAGAGTGAGCCCCAGCTGACAGGGAGCCCTCGACCCACAGGAACTTCAGGTGGCTTCAGGGCTGCACCTCGAGGAACAGGCAGGATTGGATGCCTCTCAGCTCCCTGCTTGTCATTCTGTCCCTGGAACGCCCTCGCCTCCTCCACACTGGCCCCCCTGCTGTCCACTGCCCTCTGCAAAGAAGCTTCTCAGGCCTCCCAGTCAGAACAGAAGGGCTTTCCGGGCAGAGGAGTTTTTCTCCCATGTGCTTCTGTGGTCAGCCTGTCAGCGTCTTAGGGCAGAGAAAGGAGACATTCATTCTGACTGGAAAGGCGAGAGAAGAAAGACTTCTGAGAGAAGGATGAGAAGGAAAGCTCCTTGCAGTGAGGAGTGGGGAAGGGCAATTGAGGCAGGGAGAGGAGCCAAGATCCGGGTGTCTCCTTGTCATACTGGCCGCAACTTACCCAGGATTCGCTGTGGGCCAGCTGCTGGGCACACGCCATCCTCGATCTTTCTAACAACCTGCCTGTGGTCACACAGCAGGCAGTGGGGGCGGTGAGGGCGCGGTGGCCCTGGGGCTCCAAGGCCGCACGGCAGGCAGGCAGGCGGGTGAGCTGACCTCGTTGGCTTGGAGGACGCCTAGCACGGTCAGGTGCTCACCTGGTGTTGGCGGATTGGGTGAGGAAGGAGGGGTGGAGGGAGGGGTGTCTTGTTTCAGGAAACAAAGAAGAGACGACCACGATCCCAGCTGTGTGAGGAGGACTGTCTGGCAGCAGTGACTGGGGCCCGGGAGAAAGTCCAGTTACAAGGGAGGGAAGTGGCTGCAGAGAGGACAAGGGTTTAGGTTAAGTCGCTATTCATGGAGTCGGGGTGGTGAACGACAGATCCACAGGAATCACGGATTAATTGGAAAAGACCGGGGAGGGAGGGGGAATCAAAGGCAGCTCAAGTTCTCAAACCTATTTTAGCTGGGTGACAAGGATGACAGTGCGGGACAGAGTGCTGTTTTTGAGTCTTTTGTGACCAAGACATACACACACAGGTACACACACAGGCAATCAAGTTTCACAAAACCCTGTCTGACCTTGCTGCAAATGATTCACACTGATTCATTCAAAGGAATTCTGTAGCTTTAAAAAAAATGTGATTGCAACCCCTAGATTGATTTCATAGCTAACTAATGGATTACAATTTAGAGTTTTCAAAGCACTGAGATAAGAATATGGCAGAGGAGCAGATTAAAGGGGAGGGTAGGAGTGAAATGGACCCCTCTTTGATTATGTCGAAGGCCATCTACAGGGAAAACCCAAGGGGGAGCTGAAGTCTGGAGCTCAGAAATGAGCCGTGGACCAAGGTGGGAGGCTTGGAGTCGTCCCCCTGCCCTCTCATCCTCCGTCTCTCTCTCTCTCTCTCTCTCTCTGTCTCTCTCTCTCTCGCAGATAGGGAGATTTCTGGGGGATGTGGATGGTGCTCTCATGACCCAGCTGCTCAGCACGGGGGTGTTCAGCCGGTAAGTGGGGCACCCTTCTCCCCGCCCGAATACTCACAGAAAAGGCAGGATCTGAGGCTAAACGGTCCAGACAGCTCTCGGGATCCTGACCTCCGAAACCCATAGTGAGAGTCCCGGAGGAGAGTCCCAGAGTTCTCCAACCGAAGCCAGAGACAGCATGAGGTGGGGAGGGGCATAAGGACACATGGTCTCTTAGAAGGGAAACCAAATTTGCTATTCATTTCCCTTAAAGCAAAGTGCACTTTGCTTTAAGCAAAGGAACTTCGGGCATGTGCTCTCTTCTGATCAGCCCATGCCGACTCAGGAACTGTCAGGGGTCTGGGTGAATAACACCGCCCCCAGCCCCCCACAGACTCCCCTGGGGCAGGGGCAGGGGGGCAGGGACGGGGCAGGGGCGGGGGCGGGGCAGGGGGTGGTCTGGACTCATCATGTGCTCTCTCTGGTTTTCAGAGTGACCTTGTATGACTATCAGGCCATGTGCAAAACCCCTAGTCACCACCACAGTGCAGCCCAGCCCCTGGTGAGCGTGAGTGTCACCCCAGACCTCCCTTCCACCTCCCCCAGAATGAGGTTATCTGGTTCCTGGTCTCACCCAGACTCAGGCATCTGGCCCAGGGCCCCATTTCCCACTCTGACCAAAAAGTCCTATCCCACTTCTGCCTCCTCCCACCCCAACCCTGCGGGGCTTGCCTATGGGCCCTCTGGCAGGGCAGTGTGGTTACACAGATCATCAGGGAACCTAGAAATGTCACCAAGAGGCTCATCAGGATGAGGCCCTGCCTGGCCTTTTTGATGGGCTTGTCTCGCCCAGGATGCCTGCCCTGCGATAGGAGTTTCTCAGACATCTCAGCTTTCCAGGGTCCCCAGCTGGGAAGCGGTGGGGGTACTGGCACCAGGAGAGGGTTTCCGGGGGTTGTGGTCTCTAACAGAACACGGAACACCGTGGCCCAGCCCGGGGTTAACCGTTAGTCCCCCTCCCTCCCAGCCTATCTCTGCCCTCCTGACTGCAACCAGATGGCTGGTGAATGAGCTCTTGCTGTGAGTAGGGGGTTGAGGTGGGGGGAGGGGGAGCTGGGGAAGGGCTGGGTTTTCATGCGGGTGTGTCCTCTGAGGGAGCCCAGAGGAGGAGAGCGAGGTCTGGGGAGGACCTGTCCTGCATGTATGGGCCTCCTCCTTCCTTCTGCTGCCAGGGGCACCTCTCTGCTCATCCAGGAACCTTTGGGCAGGAAAGAGAATGTTCTAGAGAACAGGGCTGGGCCGGAGATGAGCCAGGAGCCCTGGTGCTCCAGCCACTCCGGCCTCTGAGATTCAGTGCTGTGTCCGACAGGTTTCTGCTGGAGTGGAGCGCCTGGGGCTCCCGGCACGCAGACAGCGCGGCTGAGGGTGAGTACACGGGACTGTGTAGCCATGTGTTTGACATCGATGTCGCTTCACTCAGCCGGGCGGGTGACAGACAGGGTGGGGACTCTGGGCAGTTTATTGCTCAAGTCTCATCCTGCTTGGCCTTCTCTCATCACCTTCCCCTCACTCCTGGCTCCTCTCACCTCTCTGTGACATCACACCATCTCGGGACACCACTGCTCCGTGTGACATCATTTCCCATGTGACATGACCACCCTGTGACACCCTGACCTCGTGTGACATTATGCCCGTCCTGTGCTGGGCCTCGTGTCCTGGGCAGCCAAAGCTGCCTTCCATCACTGTGAGTAGCACCCACTGTGGAGCCTGGCAGGGGAGGCGGCATGGAGCTGCAAAGCCCATCCTCAGCTCTCTTAAAGGGGCGCATTCAGGAGGGCTAGGCTGTCCTCATCCCGGAGCACCCAGCTCAGGGGGCCTCTCCCAGTGAAAGCGCCACTCCTTAGGGGCGGCTGCAGCCCAGACCTCGCCCCACACCAGGGCAGCCCTACCCCAGGGAAGATGGAACACGTCAGCCATCTCCTCACGTGAGAACATTTACAATCCCAAGAGGAGAGGGCGATGTGGTCCAGTGGCTGTGGCCACACACAGGTGGGAGGCCACCAGGCCATCCCGTGGCGCATGAACAGTGGTGCCTCCAGCTCAGGCATGCCCCCAGCCCTCAGCCCAGGGTTGAGGGGGTGACAGAGCTCATCTGATCGCTGGCACACTCCTGGGATAATATCACTCCAGTAAAATTCAGGACAGTGTCCCCCAAAGGTCTGATCACAAATCAAGGAAATATCCTCACTGTCAGCCGCTGTGACTCTGGACCACCCTCCCGGGGGGGTGAGCCCACCTGATCTTTAACTGCAAAGGGACATCGCTCACTTGCAGCCCCTGGGCAGCCTGGGGCTCCTGTGCTGCTGAAGCGGGTTTTGCTCCCCGCCACTGGCTCAGAAGGCCTCTCCGCGGCGTTCTGCCCCTCCCCCACTGCTGGGCAGCACTCCCGACCCCTCTTCTTCACAGTTTGGCTTCTGGATGAGAAGGTAATTTCCAGGTCCGCCGTCTCTCTGTCTGTGCTTCCCTCTCTCCCTCTGGCCTGTTGGAGGCGTCCTCTGACCCTCAGCTCATGTGGCCAGTCCCGGCCATGTTTCCAGGCTCCTTTTAGAATTACACCCCAGTCTTCACAGGACCGCTCTGGGGACAGTTCACAGTCACTTGGTGTTTGTGACAGGAACCATGAACCATGTGTCACCACCCATTTAGAAACAGCTCCTCCTCCTCTCTGCGTGGGAACACGCGTCGGGGACAGCAGCTGCATCTTACAAAAGCTGAGAATGACCTCCCTCACTTTGCTTGCGCAGCCTGGCTCACCTGCCGCCGGGCAGCCGTTCCTACCCCTCCCCTCCCTGCCCAGCAGGCCTGGTCCGGCCAGCCATCCACATCCTCTGTGACAGAGCACTCGGCTTGGAGTCCAAGGGCCTGGACTGAGTGCGGCTGCGTGGCCTTGGGGAAGCCATTCACCTGTTGCTGCTGGCATGGTTACTCTTGTCACTGAGATGACTTACCCACACAAAGTGGCGCACCTGAGGGTGTAGACGGGCCAACCCGGGCCGCCCGCACTGGGTTGAGGCCAGTGCAGCTGGGCCTGGAAGGAGAAGAGCCATGTCCCGAGTCCCCGCAGGCTTTAGCCCAAGAGCCCACTCTCCCGTTCTGAAGGGCCTGGGGAGCAGGGCTGCCCAGCGGCCGCCCTTGAAGGTCAGTATGACCATGGCTGGAACCTGACCGTGCATGCAGACCCCCAGCTGTGGTTGTTCCGCTCAGGTGGGCCTTCTCTGCCAGCAGACTGGCCTCCCCTCTTGCCATCAAGGTCTGGTGGCAAGGTCTGGGGGTGAAAGAGACCTATAGCTCCCCTACTAAGCTTTGTGTGACCCTGCAAAACATCATATCTACAAAATGGAGGAAAACTCCCTGTCCTTCCTTTTCACATATAGACTCTGAGAACAAAAGGAACTGCGGGGAAAGTGCCTTGAAGAAATAGGAGCATTGTGTTAAAATGGCACTGCTCTTTTGAACAATAATGTCACTGAGCCCATGAGCTCACCGAGGGAGCAATCATGGGCCCTCCAGAGCAGGCTGCCTGGGACTCTCCTTTGTGCTGAGTCCTTTCCGAGTGAACTCAAACGCACCACACAGACGTGTCCTGAGGGCCCCCAAGCTTGGCCACGGTCAGAGCTAAGGAGCCCCTGCCCAGCTGTGCCCCAGGCCCTGGCAGCTGGGCACTGGTCCTCCCCACTCTGCTCTCTAACCAGCAGCAGGGGCGGGAGAGCAGGCCCAGGGCTTGTCCAGGACGTGCACTTGCAGGCACCTTAGCTGGACCTGAGACTATGTCACCTGTCCTTACTGAACTGAAAGGCGATGGGATGGAGAAGCAAAAGCCTCCCCCAAGCCTCACCTTGGCACTCTGATCACCTCTGCTTTCCTCTCGGACCCGGCACATCAATGCTGAAAGGAACCTTCGTGAAGGTGCACTCCCCCTGCCCCAACCCCAGCTTACAGTGGGGGTACAGGCATCCACATGTAGGAAGAGGCTTTCCCAAGGTCATGGGGCTGATGTGTCAGTCACACACAGCCGACCCCCAAGGCACCCTGCTGCCCAGTCTGCTGCCCTTTCCACTGTGATCCACTCCACTCCTTTGATTCTGTTCCTTTTCCTGCCTCATGTTTCTCCCACCCCACCCCTCCTTTTTGTGTCCTGAGAGCCTTCTAACGAGGGAACCATCTGCAAATGGACTGGGAGCACTTTGCTGCACGGCGGCCACGGCCGCCCCGGAGGTGCCGAAGCTGAGGTCCCCGCAGGCACGACTTCTCGGGCCCTTCAGATCCCATGAAGCCCTTTCTCCCATCTGCGCCTGTCTCCCCACAGCCCACAAGCACCAGAAGCAGGATGCGCTGCAGCCCTGCGACACAGAGTACCCCGTGTTCGTGCACCAGAGGGCCATCCAGGAGGCCAATGGGATCATCGAGTGCGGGGCCTGCCAGAAGTAAGGCCTGAGGCTTGCTCTCCCTGTCCCCAGCCTCGGGGCAGGGCTTGCTCTCTCTCAGGGGGTCGTCTCTGCATGGGGAGAAAAAAGGGGGTGCTCTAAAGGAAAGATCACACTCCAGGGGTCTTTGTTTCCCACTCTCTTAGTGAAGGAAACACAGTCCACGGCAGAGGATGTGAGGAAGGAGGCCAGCTGGGGACCGTGGACAGTGTGCTGAGCTATGTGTTAGGGGGCTGGGGAACAGCAATCCTGGGGCCAGATCCTTGTCAGCAAGTCCGTCCCGCCTCGGGCCCCAAAGCTATCCCAGACAGAAAAAAGTGATCCCATAATTCAGGGTCTGGCTCACTCACGCCTGCGCAGCAACTCAGTGTCAAGGCCATGCAAGCTGAACTCTGCCGGCGAGACCCTGGATGGATGGCAAGGGTACATCTAAGGAAAGACACAAGTCAGCTCTCCCTTAGAAATCTCTCTGTGCAGAGAATAGGGAAGCTCAAGGTTGCTCTTAGATGTGGGTGGGCTGCTGCTTCCATGTGTAGGCCCAGCCTGGCCTCAGGCCTTTTCCCATATAGAGCCCACTAGGTCCAACAGGCTCTGCCCAACCCTGGTCCAATGAGGAAAGGAGTCCTGGAAGGAAGTTCTTTCCTGCTGACTCTCACCCCTGAGCTCAAGGACCCCTCACCTGGGAAGTTCTGTCCTGGCCCAGGAGGCAGTGGCCTCCTCTAGGGTGTCATGTTGGCCAGCCTTGCCATTTACCAGGGGCTTCCCAGGACGTCCTCGAGAGACCCCAGACTTCAAGCAAATTGCTTTATAGTGTAACAGTTCAGACTCTGGCATCAGACAGAGTCAGGTGTTCATCTTTTACTCTTGTGTAATGTCAGGCAGGGTTTTAACTTTACCACAGCGGTTTTCCTGGGACTATTATTTGTGCACTTAGCTCAAAGGCTTATTGTAAAGATAAAGTAAATGGTATGGTGCAAAGCAAAGACTTTAGAGTAGACAAACTTGAATTTAAAAAGTGGCTCTGCTACTTCCTGTGTAACCTTGGGCAAATTACTCAGCCAATTCTAGCCTGTTTTCTCACCCACAAAACGGGAATAGTAAGAACCTCATATGGTATGGTGAAGGTGATGTACATGTATACATATGTGTGTGTATGCATAAAACCATCCATCCCAGAGAAAACGTTCAGTAAGGGGCAGCTGTTATTATGTAATACTGCAGGCCTTGTGCATAACAGTTTTTCCACAATCCTTTACTCCCTCCCTCCGGGCTAGATGGCTGGGCAGTTTGCAGGGATACTGTGCCACCTAGTGGCCAAGACTAAGCATGGCGTCTTCCCCATTTGGCCTGCCCCCACCACATTCACCCAAAGCAAGGATAGCCACACAGGTCTATTTGCTTGGCACAGTCCTGATTTATCCCTGTTGTCCCTGCATGTATTAATAACAATTCCTTTCACTCTCAAAAATGCTCCAGTTTGGACTTGTTCACCTTCTCCAAACTGCTAGGAAAGGAACAATTGCAAAGGCTTGTGGGTAAAATAAGCCAAAGGGCTGAGTCAATTGCCCAGGACTGTTCCTGGAGCTGCCACTGATCTGATTGATCTGCTTTGTGATTCCATTTCTTCCCTTGCAACCCCAGCTCCACACCAGAAGTCTCCAGAAGTTGGTTTTGTTTGGGGTTTTTTGCCCTAGAAGCCCAATATCAAGCCTGCCATGGGGAAGTTCCATGGCCCCACCTTTCTCTTTGCTGCAGGATATTTGTGATGCAACAGATTCCCAATAGTAACCTTCTCCTTCTGGTGACAGACCCCACCTGTGACTGCAGCATCTTCCCGCAAGTTCTACAGGAGGCTACAGAAGTCAAATATATCCTTCCAGTTTTCCAGGGTGTGAGGGCTGAGGGAAGATGGTGGTACAGGAGACATGGGGGGACTCAGATTTTGAAGCCCACCAACATCCTGCCCTCCCCCCACAGAGCATCCTTGTTGGTTCTCCAACCCTTCCCTCAGGCCCCTGGGTGTTGCCTCCTGACCCTGGAAGCCGCTTGCAAGGCAGCTGGTCCTACCAGGGGTAGGCTCTTCCAGAACTTCGTCTCTAGAATCAGCTCCTATCACGAGGTATTTGCCTTAACAGCGAATTCTGCACATGATGCCTCTATCAAGTGTGACAGGATGCGCTCCCAGAAGTTCCGCCGGCGACCGGATTCTTGTCATGCCTTCCATCCAGAGGTGGGGGCCAGAGGGAGGCAAAGGGTGGGGCTTCGTCTTCTTCCCCAAATCCTCAGCTCTGTGGCTGTGCCTGCGCACCTGGACACAGAAATGCAACTGAATGTGCACACTTTCATACGTGTGCATCAAATATTAGGTCAACTAGGAGCCAAGGGGACTGCTACAAAGCAAGCCACGGTCCCGAGTTTGGGCCATCAGTGAATCAACATAGCACTTCCCCATATTGTCCACATCACCACTGCACTTAGCTCCAAAGGACCTCAGCAAACAGGAGGAAACCATTGTGTGCAAAATACTAATGGTGACCGACACTGATTGAGCACCCACTGGTGGCAAGCCCCGAGCTGGGTGCTTCATACACACGCAGTACTGTCTTTGCTGGATAGGGCTGCCACAAAGAACTCACATGTGAGGCGTTCTCAGAGTCAATGGCTTTCCTGAAGTCATTCTAAGAGGATGACCCCACAGCTACTCCATAACCGGGGTCAAGCAGAGAAGTCTTAGGCCCAGCTCTGGGGCTGAGTGTACAGCACCACTTTTCCCCTAAAAGGTAGAGGGGATCTAAGGAAAGTGGCAGTGCTTCCTTCACTTTCTGAAACTTCCCTCTTTCCCAGGTTTTTGGGCCCTGTTAGTCCCAGAGACCCCCGCCCTACTCCTTGCTTCCTCTGGCTGGAGTGGCTCCCTCATCTTGAACGCTGCCTTTTCCTCTCTGCTCTGGGTTCACAGGAGGATGCCCAGGACTGCGGTGGTGCCTCGGAAACCTCAGCCTCGCGCCCCTTTCTCCTCCTGCCTCTCTGTGCCTGGCTGCTGCCACCCCAGCTGCTGTGGTGACACTCTGACCTCTGTTTTGCCAAGGTGACCTTTCCAGAGACATTTTACAGTATCAGCAACTGATGTGGGAGCCAGCTCACTACAACTGTGCTATCACCCAGGTCAACGCTCATCTCAATCTTGAGCTAATGGTCCCTGCCTCCTGAAATTGCGGGATGCAACCAGAAACCTCTTCCCAAAGGCCTTCCAGAGTGCCAGGAACCTGCCACCCCATCTCAATGGCCATTGTCCCAGCCTTCCCACCTCCTCTTCAGGAGCCCAGCATGAGCTCAAGTAGGACCAAGACAAAATGACTTATCTATTTTCCAGAAGTTCAGACCCAGCCAAAGAAACAGGTGCTTCTAACAAACTTGTTTGGTCTTTAGTAGAACCCAAGAACTTAAAGGGCTGAGAAAGAGGAGCAGAATGAGACCATCAATACCAACAGCAGGAATGAGAGAAAGGCAAGAACAAGTCCCCACCTGAAGCATACCTGCCTCAATATGAGATACATGGCGGTAGTGGCTCAATTTCTTCTCCTGCTCAAGTTTTAATTCACGTGTGTGCACACGCACATGCTTGCACGTGTGTGTGTGTGTGTGTGTGTGTGTGTCTGTGTGTGTGTGTGTGAAGGAGAGAGAGAAAGCAGGGAAGTGAATAGTAATGGAACACAACATGGCTACACGTATGTCTGCAAACTATTGCTATTAAAAAACTCCTAGAGACTTCCGGTCAAGATGGAGGTACAGGTACACACACTTCACCTCCTCACACAACCACAAGAAGAATCACAACCCCCAAACAAAAAACACCCAGAACTGCCAGAAAATTGAACTGTATGAAAGTCTGACAACCAAGGATTTAAAGAAGCTACATTCATCCAGACTGGTAGGAGAGGCGGAGCCAGGGAGCCGAGGCAGAGGACGTGGTGTGGCACAAAGATGCAGTGGCAGAATGAGCTGTCCCACATTTACGTGTGGTGGATAGAAATTGGGAGGGATAGCTTGAGCGCGAGAGATCCCAGCCCCAGGCCAGATCATGCAGCCCAGGGTTCCAGTGCCAGGAAAATAAAGCCTCATAACTCCTGACTGTAAAAACCACTGGGTATTGGGGCAGTGGAAGGAACTGCTGGTTTCTTAGGAGAGTCCATTTAAAGGACCCGCGTAGTCGTAGAGCGTACACAAACCCACCCCCTCTGGGAATCACCACCAGGGCAGCAGTTAGAAGGGCGCCAGTCACATACAGGGAGTGAGTAAAATAACTAGAAAAGGGACAAGTGCCAGGCAACCCTCCAGAGGCCAGGCAGTGGCACTGTCCCCTCTCCGACCCCTTCTCTCCCAAAAGTGCCACAAAGTGGTGAAGCAGGTGGCCCCACCCTGGTGATTACCTAAGGCTCTGCCCTTTACAACTTAACTGGTGCGCTAAGACAAGGCGTCAAAGCAGCTCTACCAAATACACAGAAACAAACACAGGGAGGCTGCCAAGTTGGGGAGACAAAGAAATATGGCTCAAATGAAAGAACAGAACAAAACCCCAGGAAAAAAATTAAGCAAAATGAAGATAGCCAACTTATCAGATACAGAGTTCAAAACACTGGTGATAAGGATGCTCAGAGAACTCTTTGAGTACAGCAAAAACATAAGGAAAGAAATGGAGCCTACATTAAGTAAAATAAAGAAAAATCCACAGGGAACCAACAGTGAAGGGAAGGGAGCCAGGATTCAAATCGATGATTTGGAACATAAGGAAGAAATAAGCAGTCAACCAGAACAGCAAGAAGAAATAAGAATTCAAAAAAAATTAGGAGAGTATAAGATGACTCTGGAACATCTCCAAAAATGCCAACATCCAAATCATAGGGGTGCCAGAAGAAAAAGAGGACGGGCAAGAAATTGAAAACTTATTTGAAAAAATAATGAAAGAAAACTTCCTTAATTTGGTGAAGGAAATAGGCACACAAATCCAGGAAGCACAGAGAGTCCCAAAGAAGTTGGACCCAAAGAGGACCACAAGACAGATCATAATTAAAATGCCAAAGGTAAAGATAAATAGAGAATCTTAAAAGTAGCAAGAGAAAAGCAGAGAGTTACCTACAAAGGTGTTCCCATAAGACTATCAGCTGATTTCTCAAAAGAAACTTTGCAGGCAAGAAAGGACTGGCAAGAAGTATTCAAAGTCATGAAAGGCAAGGACCTACATCCAAAATGACTCTATGAAGCAAAGCTATCATTTAGAAAGGAAGGGCAGATAAAGTGATTCCCAGACAAAGTAAAGCCAAAGGACTTCATCATCACCAAACCATTATTACATGAAACGTTAAAGGGACTTAGTTAAGAAAAAGAAGATCAAAACTATGAACAGCAAAATGACAACAAACACACAACTATCAACAACTGAATCTAAAACACAAAAAACAAACTAAGCAAACAACCAGAACAGGAACAGAATCATAGATATAGAGATCACTCAAGGGTTATCAGCTGGGAGGGGGAAGAGGGAGAGTGGGGAAAAAGGTACAGGGAATGCGAAGCATAATTGGTAGGTACAGAATAGACAGGGGAATGTTAAGTACAGTATAGGGAATGGAGAAGCCAAAGAACTTATGTGTACAGCCCATGGACATGAACTACAGGGGTGAGGGGTTAAAGGGGAAAAAATTGGGACAACTGTAATAGCATAATCAATAAAAAATACTTTTAAAAAAACTTCTAAAAACATACTTGCAAAGCCCTAGTGTAAAAGAACTTTCACATCTAAGAAACGCTGCTGCGATGGAAGGTAAGGCAAGCTCTGCGGAGGTGGCAGGCATGGCTGTTGTGGGGCAGAGAGGTCCCTCCCAGCAGCGGGGTCTCCTGAGGGGTAGCTAGCTCCACACTCACCAGGAGGTCCAGGTCCCATGATGGCCTTTTACTGGCTACAAAAGAGACTACCTGGCTCTGCCCCTGGGGTTGGAACTTTAGGAATATTCCAATTCACCAGGCAGAGTCCACTGGGAAGGGAGTTAGGTATTTGGAAACTCACTCTCCACATACACACTGCTCCGGGGGCTCGAGATCCTGGAGTATCCTCCTCGCACTCCCTCACACCTGGCTCCTAGGAGACAGCAGTCTCCACTGTGAAAGCAACATTGAAAGCAGGACGGTAGAGAAATCCTGCGGCGGCCTCAGACCTTTCCGACTCTCTGCAGCCTCCAGTGAGGAGGGCTCGCCAAGCCCCATCGTCATGGGCAAGGACAGCACACAGGGCCTTGGGGGGCCCTTCTCAGCCCTCCACACTTCAAAGTACAAGTTTCCCACCAGTAATTGGGCCCCCTTCTCTCTAGAGTAGGCCAACTCAATAAAACACATTCATTGTATTTGTAAAATGCTTCATATTATCAATTATAAAATGTTACTTCCATTACCACTTAAGGCTCACAACAATCCTGAGGTAGCATTAACAGCCTGTTTGCAGCTGAAGAAATCGAACCCCAGAGAAGAAGATAAGGGATCTGCTCAAGCTCTCTCAGCCAATTTAAGTGGCAGAATAATGCTAGGAATAGCTAAGGTTCTCATCATGTACCAGGTAAAAACAGGTTTTCACTCATTCAAGCCTTGCAACACCCCTCTGAAGGAAGTACTCGTATTAGCCCTGTATTACAGACCAGGAAACTGAAGCATGGCGTTGAACATAGGCTCCAAATTATCGGAAGGGTACTGTGAGGTTTGAATGTGATATTTATAAAAATGTGCCTAACTACTCTCGCCTACTTTTATGGAGTAGGGGATGGAGAAATTAGTTTGGATACCAGGAACAGTAGGCAGAGGTCACAGCTGTCTGCCTGGCGCAGGTGGGTGAGAAAGCCGCAGGGAGCCCTTTCTCCAGCCCCTTTGGCTGCCGCGGTCAGAGCTTCCCCACTGTCATGTCATGAAGCCCTCTTTGTGACAGACAGGGCAGCATGAGTACTTTCTAACCATTGCTCCAGCCATCCCTGCAAGGGACAAGGCCACCCACATGTCTTTCTGTGACATCAATAAATGTCAGGGCCTCCAACTGCCTTTGACCTCGCCTGCTGCCTCCCAGACACCAACTGCCGGCCTCTCTCGAGGGCAGTCCAGTGTTCTTTCAAAGGGCTAATCTCCCCCACCCAAACTGAGAGAACATTTTCAGGCTAATTTCTCAACTATTTTAGCCATAATTTAAGAACCAAGCTCAGGAAGTGCTGTGGCAGATCCTGGCCTCATTTTGTTTGCTTAATCCCTGTACGTCTCTGTGGGCCAGAGTGGACTATAAGATCTAGAAATCGCTTTCAAAACCAGTGGAACAAAATGCCATTTCTAATAAACCAGCCTTGCCCTTTACCTGGGAGAACAGAATACTCTTTTGAGTTTTGCCTTCAGAGGTCAGAACTATTGTTCTCTCGATTTTTCATAAAATCACTCAAGGACAGCAGGTGGCAGCCTGGCTCATGCTAAACAGCCATCAGCTTGATTTCAGAACAAAGTTCAAACCAAAGTCATTTAATAATGAGATGCCACTTATTAAGATTGAAATCCCTTTTCTTATAAATGTTGCACATCTTTGGATGACCAAGAACTCAAAGCTGCTGTCAGATCCTCCTTCCTCAGTCCAGGGATATATTAAGTACTGAATCCACCTAATAATTTTGTACATTTTAATAGAAATGCTTTGAGGTAAAATGCTTCTATAGCCACTTCGTAAGTTAAGTTTTGATTCAGGTGGGCAAGGCAGTGGACATATCTTAAAGTCAGAAAAGTAAATATGGGGGAGGGGGTCACAGACTGCAAAAGGGAAGAGGAGCAAGAGTGGCAGACTGCCAGCCAATCACATGAGAAATTTGAGGAAGGTTATTCTGTAAGAGCACTTCATGGAAAGAGGCAAAGGATGTTATAAGCCACATTTTAACACGTGAGAAAAGAGAGGCTAGGGAAATAAATGACTTTTTGCCTATGTCACCCGGCAAATGACAGAACTGGGCTCTGAACCTACAGTTCTTTCTAGCTCAGTGTAGTTGGCAGGGATGGTCGGTGGACAATGAGAGACTTGTGGTCATGCAGCTGGATCCCCTGCTTCCTTGGGTCCCCAAGCCCCCTCCATGCCATCACAAGCAGAAGTTACGAGAGCCAGACTGACTTTGTTTCACCAGATAGTTCAAAGCAGAAAAAGTTGATACACTAGGATACAGGGAGTGGCGGTCCATAGTTCATGTCTACTGAGGGAACAAAATACGTAATGTGCTGTAACTGAAGCAAAATATTCTAAATGAGGACATTCTTCCGGGGTAATTTTAAAGCAACACTGCCCTCAGATGCTTAACTAGGCCACCAGGGCCCCAGCATTCTACAATCAAAATTAAAATTTGTCCTTATCTATTTGCTTTTCAATATCCATGGAGCCCACCTGAGAAAGAGAACATGTAATAGACAGCCTGTGGAAGAGACTAGGGAAAAACCAAGTGGGTTATTCACGGGCCTCAGCTTATTGTTCACCATCAGAATGCCACCCAGTGTTCTAATACCCCAAAAATATATGGGAAACCCTTATGTTTTTACCTATACTTAAAAATGAGAACTCAGAGTGGACATACTATCCCAACACTGGAAGTTCCCCTGCAAAAACTAAATTTACCTAAGGCAAAAGGTTTAGGATTCCTCTTCCTTAATTACATAAAGGATTAACAATCCCCAAGACCAAAACTCTTTTATTTATTGCTTTTTAGAGAGGACAGAAAAAACATCGATCTTTTTCCATTTACATATGCATTCATTTAGCTGATTCTTCTATGTGCCCTGATGGGTGGATTGAACCCACCAACCATGGCATATCGGGATGATTCTCTACCCCACTGACCTACCTGACCAGGGCTCCCCAAAACTTTTAAATCAACATACATGACTATTTAATCTGAATTTTCTTCTTAAAGAGTGTGAGTGAGCCTTAGCTTTTCTAAGCATGTTTTGCACCTATGAAATGAGAGTGAGCTAATCAGTTCTTAGGATGGTGTTCAGGATTACATGAGATATCAAGAGTCCTTTAACAGACCTCTTTGCATAGCATGTTCATTCTATTAGGAATTATTTTTATAAACCTTAATGATAAATTAAGAACTGCCCCCTTGGAGCTAGCCCTCCCCTCCATTCTAAACCTCGTCAGAAAGGTTGAGAAAATGAGTTGAGCATGATGAGCACTTTGGTTTGTGACTTCAGATTGGAAAGTTTCTCAAAATTCGTTAAGCTTCAGTGTCAAAACTAACACTTCAAGAAATGTTAAAAGCTTTGGGGAGGCAATTAAAACACACACACCACAAAAGTTCATATTCCATTTGGTTCTTTTTATTAGAAGTTGAGAACACAGCAAGAAGGGAGATCCCGTGATGAATGGAGCCATCGCATAGATGTCTTCTGAGACCCCAGCCTTCTATGATCCCCAGAATGTGCTTTGTGGCTTCAGCAATTTATAAAGGGTAAGGGAAAAAATACTGAAAAAGGCCACTATTTAATGGTGAGAGAATGAAGCTGTAGAGGTCCTAATCAGCTAGGGCCAAAAAAGAAAATTAAAAATCTGCACAGAGCAAGCAAGCCTCTTCACTGCTGAGAGTAAGGCATTCAGGCGCCAACCTGGTGAGAGTTCTCAGCGAGCACTGTAAGACCAAGTACAGCGAGGCTGTTGGTAGTGAGTTGCACACAGACACACATATATAAATGGGCACACACACACCCATACTCACACACACCCTAAAGAGATTTTTACTGGATTATACATCTTTGATGTTAAATTTCATGTTTTCTAAGGGTTTGTGCTATGTTGAACCAGATTCAGCTCCTCCTTTCGGGTGTCGGGTGACGGGGCCCAGAGATGGCTACCTCTGTTGGTGGTATTTCAAGGCTGCCTCTTATACCCCGTATCCCAAGTGCATGACCGAAGAGCAAGTCTGGCCTCTGATATGTGCTGTTGCGTCCGTGGAACTAAGTGAGCTTCCTTCCAGATGGCCACTGTCTTGCTGGACTGTCTCCTTAAAGGGAGTAATACTGTTTATTGTTAGGCACTGAACCAGTTCACCCACTGAGTCTTTTGCTGGGTCCACCTAGCATCCGGGGTAGTGACTTTATCCAGAACCAAAATACTCAAGTTCTTCCCAAGTTCTGCAATGGATTCTTTCTTCCTGGTTCCCAGCTTTTGCTGGAGACTGGAAGGGGAAAGAAAAGGGAAAAAGAACCGAGAATACCCTATCCGGAATAAATAGGAGACCCTTCCATATTCCCAAACACCCAGCTGAGCATGCCAGCCTCCATGCTTAGGGCCTCAATGTTTCGTTCTAACACCCACAATCCCCAGGGTGTAACAATCACCTGAAGCCTCAGATGAGAGTAAGTAACCTAAGACTCTAGTGCTATTTGGGTCATTAGAAGTATGAGCCAACATGAGAGTTCTATGAGCCAGAGCCTTCCCCTACCACTCTCCCTGACACTCTAACAAGGCCCCGCTAAGACACAAGCAGTCTTTCTTTTACTTCTAGCAGCTCTTCAAAGATATAGCTTTAAAGGTTCTTCCAGACTTCCTGGCAACAACATACCATTTTCCTTTTGTAACTTCCCATCATACTATCCCTTATAAATGGGATTCAGGGAATGCTGATACTCCATGGTGAGTACTGGGCCCTGCTTTACAACAGTTCTCCTGGCTTTTCTCTGGCTTTTCTGTTCAAGGAGAGCTGATAGGTCTGTCATACCGAGGCTTGCCAAGGCAGAGTGCCAGGTGAAAATCATTTTCTTAATCCAAAGGAAGTGTTCTTCCAAGCTGGGTAAGTGAGCTCAGGAGGCACCTGGACAAGGCCGACTTTTGTGGCTGGCTCCATGCCCAGAAAAATGACGCTGGGCAAAAGGTTGATTTTTAGTCCCAGGAGGAAGGGTAGTTGGGGCAGTGATTTTTATAGAGGGAAACTTTCAGGGTATTGCACAGTTCTGTAACAAGGATATGGAAAACTGTCACATCCCTGCAATCAGATAAAAATCACCAAAAAAACTGAACAGGATGATGGAAAGTAACCAGATCAGCCCCTGTGCTAATGCCTCCAGAGCTTCCCCTCCAGTCTCCACTACTACCCCGCTGCCACTGCTGCCAGCTTAAATGACTTTCTGAAGCAGGTGGCTCTACTCCTTAGAGGGCCATCAGCACAAAAAAGCAGTCAGTCTCTCAAAGGACACCTTAACAATATAGAGCCTTTATCTAACATCCTGTTAGCCATTCATGTGCTGCTTCTATTGAGAAACCACATACCATCTCCCTCTACCTCATGACTCCCAAAGGCTCTCAGCCCTGAGAGTGGTCATGTGATCACTGGGCTGGGGCTGTACGCTCTGCCCCACCAGGGTCCAAGGTCTGTCAGCCTTCAGAAGGCACCTTGGTGCACCAAGGCATTATACATTCTGGGGCTATAGCCTGAACCTCCTATAGTCACTTTGTGCAAAATTGAAACAGTGTGTGGTACTTGCATGTATCATCCTATACAAAAATTCTCCCTCCCTCCCCTACCCCTACCCCTATGTTTTAAACATTTATATAAATTCTTATTTAAACAGTAAGTTAGAAATCTTATTTACATTGTTTGTTCTCCCAAAACAGCATCTAAAATCACACTCCCACCCCTTAATAGGATATAAATGTTCACCTAAATTGGTTTGTATTATTGTTTTAAGGAGAGAGAAAGGGAGAAGAATGAACCACCAGCTAAACTGTTTCCCCGTCTTCAACAAATAAATATGATACAGATCAGAAGCCAGTTTGCCAAGAGTCCTGCAGAGCCCTTAATCAGTACATCCCAAGAATACGTCAGGGTTTGGGCCATTTCTCCTTTTCTCCAAATTGATGCACTCCATCCTTTGAGGTATGATTTATTTTTGTTTTTCTCTCCTCAGTCATGTGCCACGTGGAGCCCCTGGGGCATCACCAAGCCCCTGAGGCTGCCGAAGTTTTGGAGCTCCTCTGGTACCGGCATCGGTGGCCAGGAAGGGAGGCCTGCAGGCGCTGCCGTCCCTGGTTCAGGGTCCCAGTCCCTGGCTACTGTAGGTGTCACAGTGCATCCTCTTCACTGCAGCCTCCACCGATCATGAAACGGAACTCCTGGAGGTTTGAGACCCCGTGGAAGTGAACAAAAGCGCCAGCAACCACAAAAATGTGGAATAGTTGATGAGAGTGAAACTGGAGGCAAAAAAAAAAAGAAAGAAAGAAAGAAAAAGAAAAAAGGTGAGGGTAGAGAAACCCATGCATTATTAAAAGTCTGCCCAAGGTTCTTAGGATCATTTACACTGAGCAGAGGGCAAGGAATAGATGTGACAGAGCTCAAATTTGAGGTGTCCACAGATCCTGGGATATACATTAGGCATATCATATTATGCTGAACTGAAGACCAGCTGTCCCCAGGAAGAAATTAAGGTGCTACTGCTAATGTCTAAACATGAAAATGTGCACACGTTAACACTGCAGTATAAGGTGAACACAGAAGCAACTGACATACACAAACTCCTGCCAACAGACCACAAAGGCTCCAAAGATCCCCCCCTAATGCCTAGCAGCAGACAATGGTTAGGCAGAGGGCATTTTCCTCATTGCTGTCAGACACACTTGTCATGGACTAATGCACCTGAGGTATGGTCATTTAAATATAAGGAAATGCTCTCTGTTAGAAAAACTAAAGGGATTTCCAGGATTGGATAAAGGTGAAAACATCCAGTGACTGGAGTTTTCTCCAGCTCTAAGACTGGAATTACACAGACAAGATACTAAATAGGTCAAAAGACTAGGAAAGCAGGGCCTTTCACTTCCTTCTCAAGTCAGAAGCTTAGCTACACACATGTGATATTATTTCTGATTTAACCTGTGCTGTTGAATGTTCAAAACGGGTTATCAAATGCTCAGTGCACCAAACATTACTTCAAAATCACACTATTCTCTCATTATAGTCTCAAAAATGGAAAAGTACAACAGCAAATAAAGAAAAATACAGCACCAAAACAATATTTATCAAGGGAAAGACACTGGTTTTAGAAGTGTAAACTGGCAGGATCTATTAGTCACATCCAAAGAGATGTTTCCTAGGGCACCAAAGGGGCTCATTCTCCCCCACAAGGAGGAAAGATAAAAAACCTTCCCATAGCAATGTCAAAATTATGAAAAGGCAATCTGAGTGATAAATTAGCTGATTTGAAACTCAAGACTGCTTAAATTAGCATTATTTTCATTTTCTAGACAGCTAAATGAAACTTTTTTAAAAAGATTTTATTTATTTATTTTTAAAGCAAGGGGAAGGGAGGAAGAGAAACATCAGTATACGGTTGCCTCTCACATGCCCCATACTGGGACCCTGGCCCGCAACCCAGGCATGTGCCCTGACTCGGAATCCAACTGGCAACCCTATGGTTCGCAGGTGGGCACTCAACCCACTGAGCCACACCAGTGAGGCAGCTAAACTAAACTTTAAAGAGACTACATGGTCACCATAGTCTGTAACAATCAACAACAGGTTAAGAAACAGAATTCCAAAGGTCAGACTTCATGTCAAACAACACTCCAATTCTGTACTGTTAAAAATGTTTCAAGTCATTTTCTGCTGTAAAATCTTTTGTCTGTTGGTTCCACCCTCTCTTTCCTCCTTTTCCACCATTAACCACAATCCAGTTATCTCTACCTCCCATTCAAATCAAACACATCCATACATTCACTCTCTAAATACAATCTCTAAATTTGGTGATCAAAAAGGATCTAGGTAGAAATCTGGCCCCAAAAAGGGTTTCAGTAAAAATCTGGTCTATCGCCCTCATTTCATAAATGAAGGAGCTGAGACAAAGAATGACTAAATGACTGGCCAGTATAGTGTAGTACACATTCTGATATTAGACTAGCCTCATTCAGATTCTACTCCTACCACTAGACTAGCCAGGCACATTGGACAGTTACCTAATCTCCCTAAGCCTAATTTCCTAATCTGCAAAATGAAAACATGAGTAACAGTTACTATGCCTTACAGGGCGAATGCATTAAATGAGGTAGGTAATCAGTGAGAAGTACTCAGTACTGTGCCAGGCACCAAGTGCTCAATACATATTCCATTATTTTGCCATGTATAATGCACACTTTTTTGCCCAAATTTTTGAGGGAAAATTAGGAGTGCACATTACATATATGGGCAGTACCTGAAATACCTTCTGTTTTTGTGTTTTCTAATTTGTTACATAAACTTTCTTGTGCCATAATATGTTCAAAAATAAATACTAAAATTCCTTTATAATACAAAAAACATATATATATAAATAAATAAATTGAACTAAAAAATTAAAACAAAAGATGTTTATTCCCTAAAAGTTTAGGCAAAAAACATTGGTGTGCATTATATATGGGAGCGTGTTATCCACAGCAAAAAGATGGCAGTTGTTATAGTTATCATCCAGAGAAACACAACTAATGAAGGAGAGTTAGGACTAGAATACAGATGTTGATTTTGAGTCTGAAATTTTTTCTATTATTTCACTTCCCAGTCAGCCAATAACCCTGTAAAAGATATGTACGTATGCACGATAGCCACCTCCGATCATACTTACCCAGATGTCACACTTGCCGGGAAAGAAGCGTTCGGGGATGCGGGCAGCATACAGGGCAGCCCCCGTGATATAGAGGCTGGCCATGAGCATCAACCAGCCAATCTGTCCTATGGTGGCAGCCTTCAGGAACCCCTCCGAGATGACATAGTGCAAGGCAGGAATGATTCCACTCAGGCCTAGGCCCAAAAACACTCCTAGGAACCATGAGAAATGAATAAAGCAAAAATGCAAAACAGAAATAAGGAACCAGGAATTCTGTAAAATGAATACTTCAAAGTATAATACAACATTAGCCTCTTCTATGAATGGAAAAAGAAGGTTCTTCAAGCTCTAAGATACTGCCACACAAGACAGAAAAGCTACGTTCTAATCGATCTAGTTAAAATTCAAGAAGCCTCCTGCTGAGAGAAGCTTAGCTTAACAAGTCAGCAGTCCTCAAAGCATGTTGCATAGTGTTTTAGGACTAGACAGCTCTAGCAGTTTGTTTAAACCTCCCTAAATGCTGCCTCTTTATAGACACAGTTTGCAAAACGAAGCAATTTTACATATTTTATATTCCCTTTAAAACTACAGAAATTAATGATAACGGGGGGAAAATACAGTAAAAAAGTTTTTTTAAATAAATAAAACAAGAGATACTCCTGAGGCAGAAAGGGCAGGAGGGATGAGAGAGTGAGAAGTGGAGGTGAGAAAACAAAAAGCAGTTATGGGTTCTGATGACTCCCCAAAATACTTTCTGGGAACCCCAGCTGGAATTATACTCAGCTACAGGTTCAACCCTCCAAGCCTTAGTCATGTCCTCACTTCTGAGACAGAGACTGGGGCAGAGGGAGTGAGAGAGGAACAGAGAGAGAGAGAGAGAGAGAGAGAGAGAGAGAGAGAGAGAGAGAGAGAGAGAGAGAGAGAGAGAGAGAGAGAGAGACACGCTTCTGAAAGTTTCCAGGCCCCAAAGTACCACTCCGTTACAGAAGTCTATCAGAATCACTCAACCAAGCTCTACGTGCCTTCAAAATTGATAGCAGTGCTTTTCAAACTTCTGGATATGACCCAGATTGTAAGAGCAACTGAGCCTGGATCACAATTTTTTTTTAAATGAACTAGAATAAAATAACAAATGTCACACCATGTCGCAAGTGGAGTGCTAGGCACTAGTTTGTAAACGTTTTTATAACTGGTATTTCTGTTGGGGGAGGGGTGTAGGGTGTGGGTGTGGGGGGTGTGGGTGTGTGTGTGTGGGTGTGTGGGTGGGTGTGTGTGTGGGTGGGTGGGTGTGTGTGTGTGTGTGTAAGAGAATATGTCATGATCAAAAAAGTCTGAAGGCAACTGATCTAAAACCACTTGGAAATGTGTATCAAAAAAGTCTGAAGGCAACTGTTCTAAAACCACTTGGAAATGTGTCAACCAAGACACCACATGAACTCCCTGCAAGAGCCATAACTGCTTCTACATTTTTGACACAAAGATAAGAACGGCCCTTGCAAAACAATCATTTGGTAAGCTTTCTCAAAAGAAAGGGACCTATTACTTGCTATAGATATTACTACAGAAGCTGCTGACATGGAACAACGTATGTATGCACAAATACATATTCATAAGTAAAATGGACATCGACAGAGAGCAGGAAAACAACAATGCCCATCTCACAAAAGAAATGAATCAAGCAGGCCTAAATAAACACTACTTCCTTTCTCTACTCCTCACTAAAGAGAAATCACTATGACCCTGTTCTTTCACTTATTCTGTTCCTCTACATGCTAAGCAAAGGCTGCCAATGGTCTTGCCTGTCATTCTCTAAGTCAAAGCTCAGGAACTTGGTTCTGATGTGTGTGGCTACCTTTGCTCAGCTCTACTCAGCAAAGACGTTCCTCTCTCGTGTGCTCAAGCAGGCTTAAGACCAAGGTTTACGTACTACTGTGAGCCAACCCTGACCACTGCTCATCTGCTCCCGTAGACACTTAAGGAGGGAAGACAGTAGAGTGTTACAGCACAGAGTTAACTCTACCGCCTAACCTTCTGGGTAACTGCAGGTGAACCATGACTTGGATTTTAATACTAAACAGGGGTTTTTTTGTTCATTTTTTTTTTAGGGTTGAAAGGAAAAATACTCCTTTTAATACTCCTTCATTCTCAGTAGGCACTGGGTTTGATACTAGGAATAGAAAATTCAAGACACAGCCTTGGTTATACAGACGCTCCAGTCCACTAGAAGACAAAAACATGTCTCTGTTAATCCCATACTCTTACAGGAAGGCTCAAGCAAGGCACTCAAAGGCTTGTGGGTTTTTCATACAATCTATAAAAAGCCTGTTAATCCCTACACCTGAAGAGCTATAAGGTGTCTACATTAATGGAACACAATCAGTAGGAAGTCTTTTTTTTTATGTCCCTCACCTCTTATCCCTCCATACCATCTTTTCACCTCTACCCACCCCCCCACTCCCATGGAGTGAAGAATTCTCATTTACCTAAGCAGATTACACATTTTAAAATAAAAATACAAAAACAAAAACAACAACAAAAAGAACAAATCACTGCAAAAAGTACACTTCATGCTGACAGTAAGAGGAATCATTGTTTCTTTTACAAAGGTCACAGAGCTCCCGTTATCAACAGTGTATGGCCATAAACTCAAGTAAATTACACTGCCCAGGAACACATGGGCTCACAGAGGTTACCACTCAACTCTACTGCTCTATGACAACTAATGAACACTACATTAAAAGCCCACAAGAGCAGAAACTGTAATTTATTCATGTTTGCATCACAAGGACATAGCATAAGGCTTAGAAAATAAATGGCAAGGCTTTAGTAAATGACTGATAAATAAATGTTCAATGTAAAACTTCCACATGCTCTTACCTGCTCTGACTCCCCGATACTGTGGGGTGGCAAACATGTCCCACTGGGAGACTATAATGGCTGCGATGCCCAGCACACAGATGACAATCAAGTAGATGAAGCAAGGTTGTGGATTACAGTAAAAAGAATAATAAAGCCAAGGAACAAAACTTCCCATAATCAGAAGAGCAATGCCAGAGTAATCTAGTCTAGGATAGGAGGAAAAAAAAATCCATTTAATGTTAAAAATTACTGAGCACTTCATGTTCAAATTAATCCCCTAAGACATTAGCTAGCAATGAGAGCTATGAGGCTAAGTAGCATGTTTGCTTTAAATTTTTTTACATGTTCCTATCAGATGGCATTAAGGATTCTGTCAGCTCCGCTAGATGTTTTTCACTAACCCACTAATTCAACATCACTGATCAAAATATGGACTTTACAGACACTTACTTAGAGAAGAGTCGGGAGACCCCTTCTGAGTGGCAGTAGACTGTGTGGAAGAGCCATGAAAAAGAAAGGCAGAGAATGGCCCCCAAGAAGAACAACCCAAAGACCACCTTCTCTTGCAGAGGGGCCACGAAGGAGATGTTTGGACGGAACATATAAAAGATCCCCAGGCACAGGAAGAATACACAACCTAGGAGAAGAGTACAGGGGAGGTAAAAAATAGATTATCCTTTTGAAGAGACAATGTTTTATGCTGATTATGTTTTCAATCCTTCACAATCCTTACAGGGGAAGAGAGGGAGAAAGAGAGGGAGAGAAACATCAATGTGTGGTGGCCTCTCACCTGCTTCCAACTGGGGACCTGCTCCACAATCCAGGCATGTGCCCTGACTGGGAATCGAACCAGCATCCCTTTGGTTCGCAGGCCAGAGCTCACTCCACTGAGCCACACCAGCCAGGGTACCTTTTCCTTTCTTGATAATGTCATTTAACATATTAAAGTTTTTAGTTTTGATGAAGTCCAATTTATCCATTTCTTTCTTTGGTTGCATATGCTTTTGGTGTCAATTCTAAGATACTGTCACCTAATTCAAGGTCACAAAGATTTACATCTATGTTTTCTCATAATGATTTTATAGTTTTAGTTTGTATGATTAGATCTTTACATCCATTCTGAGTTAATTTTTGCATATGGTAGGAGTCCAACTTTATTTTTTTTACACGTAGCTACTCAGTTACTCCTGATACCATTTATTAAAAAGATTACTCTTTCTGCCCTGGCTGGTGTGGCTCAGTGGACTGTGTGCCGGCCTGTGAACCAAAGGTTCACCAATTCAATTCCCAGTCAGGGCACATGCCTGGACTGTGGGGCAGGTCCCCAGCTGGGAGCATGTGAGAGGCCACCATACATTGATGTTTCTCTCCCTCTCTTTCTCCATCTCTTCTCCTCTGCCTAAAAATAAATAAATAAAATCTTAAAAAAAAAAAAAAAGGTTATTCTTTCCCTCATTGTATTCCTTCTTTACTATACAATCATGATTGGGGGCGGGAGGGAGGAATATTATACATTACATTCTATTTCAAAACAAAATGAAATTTAATTGTGAATATTCTAAGTAAAGACTTCGAAAAAACAGTTTACTTTTATTAAATAACTGCCTTCCTCATAGTGTTCATTAAAATATTTTTCACATTTTGTATAGAACCTTTCTCTTGGCCTGGTTCAAACACTGTCTAGAAATCCAGTAGTGGTGGAAGGATCGAGCAAAAAAGAAAAAGGGTTCATGGACATGGACAACAATTTGCTGATTATGGGGGTGGAGGGGTGGGGGGGGCGTGGAGGTAAAAGAGGGGATAACAGGGATAAATGGTAATGGAAAAAAATACAATTAAAAAAAATCAGTAGAGAAAAATAGGACTTAGCTATACTAAAATCATAGTGCAAACCACAGAGCAAGTCAGTGAGAAATGGCATCACTGCAAATCCCAAGTACATTTTTTAGGTTCCATCCTTACCATCAAATAAATAAAAATTGTAAAAAAGAATAAACAAAGAGTTAACAATTCATTACACCACTGATATTTCATACCTAAGAGATGTGTCCAGATGTTGCCTGTCTCAGTGTGTATTCTGAAAATGCTCTTGAAACAGGCCCGGAAAGAAGGCATAGGGGGCCGGTGTCCATGTAAAAGGAAGTCATTATCCTTGAGCCAGTCTGGTAGTACATCATGGGGGATTACTCGCCATCGACCTTCCCATACCTGGAAGAAAAATACTATCAAATATCTTTGGAGTTTTAATTGGCACTTTGGCAACACTGGTCCCAAATAATAATCTTACATTTTCTTATGAGAAAACTTATTTTTAGAAAGACAAACACATTCAAAATGCATAATGACCTACGTCCTGAGTTTTTTAAAAACAGGTTCATCAAAAATATATTTTTAAATGGGGGAGAGGCCTTTCTTAGGAAGAGGGAAGAGGTAAATGCACTTAGAGAACACATCCTAAAGAGTGGTTTCAAACTGTTTCAGTCTGTCTAAAATAGGGCAAGGGGTCTAAAGTTCCACCCATACAGACTCCCTCCATCCTCCACAACAGATTTTACCTCTGAAAAATCCCTGTGATATTAAAGATGACCATTTTATACTTAAGAGTCCTACTGGTGAAAAAAGAACTATACAGAATCATACTTTTGTGTCTATTGCTAAAATCTTTCTCCCTTTACTCTCTCTTCTCTTCCTACCACAGCAAATATAATGAAGTAGAAAAGAAAGAACAGAGGAGTCAGAAAATCTTGGATGTCTGTCATTAATTAGTTGAACAAGCTTTTACTCACAAAATCGCCAAGCCTCAGTTTCCTCATTTATAAAATAAGGATAATAGTGCTTCGATTACTTCATAAGAGAGTTATAAAGGTCAAAGGAAATAACCCAAAGCACTTCATAAATGAGTTAGCAAACCCTCATATCCACCCCCAACAAAGGTGGTATTAATTCTAACCTTCCCCCAGAGGCTACCAACTGTCTAAGAATTAGTAACTAGTCCACCCTCCTCATGCTGGAGAGATAACAAAGAAATTAAGCCTTGACTGCTTTTCAAGCCCCTTCACCCTCCCCCTTTCTTCCTTTTCCTCACTGTCCTTCCCCCATCAAACTCTAAAGGAAAAGGGATCAGAAGTTTGCTATCTCCACCTTAAAAAATCTGTCAACTTCTGCCGTTTCTTTTAATGTCTCTCAACCCAGAGCGCTCACACCACAAGGATCATGTAATCCTAAACTAAATTGCTTCTGCTAGCCAGAAAGATGTAAGAAAAAATGCCAGGAACACATCTACCTTTAGGCTTCAGCTGCAGGCAATGATTCCACCTGCTCTCCTCAGGGTTCTTGGGACAGACAACATGGCAGGGCCATACAAACTCAATTCTCTCTCTACTGCACAGAAAGATTACCACTTACTTGCCAGCTACTATGCCCAATCTTTTCACTCCTCATTTCCCTGTTTCTGCTCCTCTTAATCCTTCTAAATGACATACACAAAAGAACTGATCCTCTGTGTAACTCCCAAAAAAGTGAGGACTACATTTAAGAAGTGGCCCTGTGGTTACTGGTGCTAATTTGGTCATTCCATGCTTGTTCTTAACATACAATAAAAAAAACAAAATAATGCCAAAAGACTAATCTAGAGGGTTAAAAAAAAAAAAGTTTTATTTTTAGAGAGGGGGGAAGAGAGGAAGAGAGACAGGGAGGGAAACATCAATGTGAGAGACATTGATCGGTTGCCTCTCATAAGCATCCTGATGGGGAAAACCAACCCGCAACCCAAGCAAGTGCCCTGATCAGGAATCAAACCAGCAAGCTTTCATTTTACAGCACAATGCCCAACCAACTGAGCCACACTAGTCAGGGCTAAGCTAGAGTTTCTTGTCTATTGTTAATATCACTATCACTTGTGGAAGTAGCTGTAGTTTCTGTAGAACTTTATAGAGAGAATGTGAGAGAGACACACCAAAACAATGAATTTCTTTTATCTAATTTGAATTTGGTAAAAGACAATTATTGTTGGGATTAACCTTACAAGATGCTGCTACTCTGCTTTACTTTGGAAGAACTTTATTTCCTAAGAGGGTGAGGAAGACAGACATCAATCCTTACATTCTCAAGGCAGTTCACAAGGTGCAAACAGCGCTACTGTGACCATATGAAAAGTGCTATTGTGTTGCCATACAGAGACAAAATAGTCAAATGCTCTCTTTTTATAGTCAGAAAGAATATGGTGAGTTTCTTACTACTTAATTGTACATATAATGACAGAGCGATTCCCCCTGCCCCACACTGTATCTATACAAACATTCTAGTGGTCTAAAAACTGAGCCAGGGAGCTGTACTTTCTAATTATACTGCAATTAGTGTTATATTCAACGGACCCTGCACCTTCATTCTTAACTTGGAGTCAAGCCAAATGCCAACCCAAACAGGCATCCTCTTTTACTGCCTGGGGAAAAAAAAAGAACAAGATCACAGCTTAGATAAAGACATGTTTATGTATAAGCTTCACAAAGACACCCCTAAATCAAACTTGGCATTGGTCCACTGTTGTTGTATTAGACCATATAGTGAACAAAACATAATTTTAAAAAAACTACCCACAATATACCTATTCCCACATGGGCCAAGCTATGCTGGTAAAATAGCAACAACTGAAAGCTGAAAAAGACAGATCAAGATCAAACTTGGACACTCTATATAAAGACTAAAATGATTTTATTTCCCTTATCCCTATAAGGAAAGCTTTTCCTAAAGGGAAAGTACAACCAGCAAGCCCACAGGACACTTCATTTTAAACTGTCTCCATGTACTTGCTTCCATCCAAGAAACAGAATCTTTGTGTCTCTGGACATGGCTAGTTTTCAAGAACAGCCAGTTGAAGCACCAGAGCACAGTGCAGCAGCTCTGGAGAACACCATGTAACAGCAAGTCTCTTCTTGTTGCTCTCATACACAAATGCTAGGGGATAATAAGCAAATGGTTTATCTATTCCTGTGCTCCACTCACTTTTCTTCAGTAAATCAGTCTGTAGCAAAAATGCCCTATTTATTCTTGCTAAATTGAAAGTTTTGTTGAATATCTGCTTTATTCTTTATTCTTAGTTCAGAAAGAGAGTAAGAAAGGTGATGAAGTTATTTAGCTACAGTACCCCACTGATATACAAATATTGAAAATTCCTAATGGCCTAGAGAATAAATTCTTAACTTTTTTTTTTTAAAGGATTTTATTTATTTATTTTCAGAGAGCGGGGAAAGGAGGGAGAAAGACAGGGAAAGAACCATCAATGTGAGAAAGAAGCATCAATCAAGTTGCCTCTTGTATATGCCCCGACCAGGGACTGAACCCATATCCCAGGTATGTGCCCTGACTGGGAATCCAACCAGTGACCTTTTGCACTGCAGGACAATACGTAACCAACTAAGCCACACAGGTCAGGGCTAAATATTCAACTTTGAGAGACTGAACACCAAACTTGCTTTTTGCAAAACAAAATATGTCTTTTATATCCTTTTCTGTTAATTCTCCAGAGTTGGTGATCACCAGAATGGAGCTATTGTTTTGCTTGACTTTCTCATCACCAATTTTCACTCACTGATTAAAATGCCGTGGGTTTGTCCTGGTTGGTGTAGCTCGGTAGATGGAGTGCTGGCCTGCGAATCTGGGGGTCGCCAGCACAGTCTAGAGCACATGCCTGGGTTGCGGGCTAGGTCCCCAGATGGAGGCATGCGAGAGGCAACCGCATATTGATGTTTGTCTCCCTCTCTTTCTCTCTCCCTTCCCCTCTCTAAAAATAAGTAAATAAAATCTTAAAAAAGAAAAATGTCCTAGGTTTTAAGTAGACCCATAAATGCTTATACACTCCCCCACCACTTTCCATCAATCCCTTCATCTTGGGAGGGATGTCTATATTGAGATTATAATGTTTCCTTCTTATCCTCTGGTCCAAGTATAGTAGTCTAAGTCAACTGGCCCCAATTATTTCTAGTCATTGTGAATATCTAAAAACCTAAGTTTAGGTTTCAGGATCTATAAAAAGTCTTGGTCTCATAAAATCTATGAAAAAGCTGAGCACAAAAATTTCTCTCCAAAAGAAAAGTTTTTTCCAGAAATATTTAATAAAGGAACTTCCATACACATATACACATAGAAATAGACAGACTGACTTATGCTGACTTTAAATCATACCTGCCAGGGCCCTGATCAATCGGATTCATCAAGTAGTTATAAATTTCCAAGTGTCCTTCCCTATTTTCTCTAAGCAAGCAACCCCAATTCCAGTTACCATTTTGGGGGAGAAAAATCCCCACAAGAGGTCCTAATGGATCAGAAAATGAATTGGAAGAAAAACCTTAGAGAAAGGAAATACATCAGCTAAATTGAAAACACTAAACATGTATGAAAATCAGGCAATTCCTATCTAAAAAGTAGGCTGATGACCCATAGAATCCCTGGAAAGAGTAGCAAACTTGTCATCATAGTCAACAGCACAAGGGATTCAAGGGACTTGGCGATGGCATTTTAGTATCTCCAGGCATCAACCACCCCCAGTTTTGTTGCCTCCTGTCTTTTTTAACTACCAATAACCTATTATTAGGAAAGACCTGTTTTCTACTTGGATGTTCTAGTTTTCTCAAAACTTGATCATGGCTGCTGCAGGCAAATGTTGTTATGCCTTGAACCAGGTTAAAGTCATGAGATTGCTTTTGTCTCCATTTTCCCACAGATTATTCACAAAGCAAACCAAAGGGTAAGGTACTATCATTCTCCTTTAAAGGTTTCTGTATGGGAAGGGCTGATCATATAAGCACGAAAATGACAAGAAATTGCCAACCTACCTTACAAACAAACTCCTCCATTCTTTCCATAGCATGATGGGCTTGTAAGAGAGGGGACATTCCCATAAACCCCTCCTCTTCCTGAGAAGCTTCATCATTACACTCATGTTCCTCAGGGCTCTGCAAGGTAATCACAGAAATAGTCAGGGACAGAGACCAGGAGCCAATGAAACACAATCAATACATTTTCCTTGAAGAATTATAATGAAACTCTCTTAAGGTCAAAACAAGGCCTCAGACAAGTAAAAATACAAGAAGTAAAGTCTGTTTATTATAGGATAATGAGGATTAAAAATGAAGAATAGTTGACTCAAGTTTCCTGATAGACAAATGGAACTTTAACAACAGCATGGCTATGTCTGGTTCAGAAGCAAATTCCTGGAGTAGCTTAAATGGTTTTTTTAGTTTGTTTTAAGAATTATATTCACAGACGAAATACTATTAAGTAGATAAAGTTGAAGAAATACTGAGTTGAAAATTTCCAAGCACCCCACCTGGTACATATAAAATAAATAATCATAGTACAATGTAGTAAGTGCTCTAGGGAAAAAGGAGAAAAAAAATTTACTAAATTCTTAAAATATGCCAAGCACAAAAGAAAGAGCTTTATACAGGCCATCTACCTTAATCCTGACAACCACCTTATTAGGTAAGTATTCTTATCTAATTTAATATATAAAAAACATTAGGCAAAGAGGTTAAGTAAGTTGCCCAAGGATAAAACTGGTAATGTAAAAACATAAAAGTCTTTTCACATTCTCCAGGAAGTGATCAATTTGTCTAAGGAAATGAAGGAAGAAATGCCAATCTATTTAGAACTTAAGGATAAATCAATAAAATTAAGATTTTTGTTTCCAGATCAAGCTTCAAACTGGTTTAGACAGGATGGTATTTGTGATAAGGGCAATGGGCTAGAGGGAAGTCAGGATACCCAAGCAGTAAGCCTGGTTCTACTATTGATATCGATCTTTATATAGGTCTCTCAGCCTTTCTGAGAGTCATTTTTTTCTTATCTTATCTAAAAGGAGGAGTTTAAACTAAACAATCTCTACAGTCTTCTCCATTGTCTAAAATTGTGATTTTGTAACTCAATGACAAATGACAGCATGAGGGAACTGTAATTCCACATCTAAGAGTCCACTAGATAAACAGTACTAACATAACTTCATGAAGAAATGGGCTGACCTTCCACCTCCTATCAGAAACAAACTGGTAAGTAAGGATGAACACGCAGAGAGGTAATAGTAATCTACCACAATACCCAAATTTGCACATACATAAAAAGAAATTCTAAGGTTTTATTTTTCTACTCTATGCTTTTCAAGATAGTCTGAGGCTATCAAGCTTCACGTGAGACATGTTACATATCCAGTATCAATTTTTTAAAAGTTATGTTCTCCAAGAAAACAATCTTGAACTTACTTCCCCACATTCTTACCAATAAAATCCCCCCCCTTCTTTACTTATTTAAAACTTGCCTATCTATCTCTCAATGCTCCAATCCTACCATATTACTTGTTTAAAACTCTTTCCTAACTATCTAGCCTGGGTGCTCTCAACCTTTCTTTCATGGTTGCACCATCCCCCTTACACCCTCTCCCCAGCATTTTTAGATAGCTTCCCCATGAAATTTTAACACCACAGATATACTGTGTACCTGTTTATGTGCTGTGGCTCTTTGGAGGGCTACAAAGCATTGCATTACTTAAGAGTTCTTCACTCCAGCAAACAAGAAGCTATTTTCACCAGAGAATGTATGCCCTTCCTAACCCAAAGCAACCATCTGCTCTGCTGAACTTTTTTGGCACTTTAAATTTGTACCATTCATAAGCTCTGGCTGGTGTGGCTCAGTGGGCTGAGCGCCGGCCTGTGAACCAAAGGGTCACTGGTTCAGTTCCCAGTCAGGGCACATGCCTGGGTTGGAGGCCAGGCCTCCAGTAGGGGGCACACAAGAGGCAACCACACACTGATGTTTATCTCCCTCTCTTTCTTCCTCCCTTCCCCTCTGTCTAAAAATAGATAAATAAAATCTTTAAAAATAAACTCTGTACCCCTCATGGGACAACTAATACAATCTCTAATTATAGCTTATTTTATTGACTTATACTGTTTTATTTAGTGTTTAACAGAATTTTACATTTTTAGTATAGCATTTCCTAAACTAGATTTTAATTGTCTGTCTTCTTCCCCACTGCACTCAGAACAGCAGTATTTTATGTACTTACACAGTGGCTAAATTAATTAATGCTTCAAAAGATTTTTTAAAAAAAGATTTTATCTATTTTTATACAGAGGAGGAGGGAGAAAGACAAAGAGAGAAATATCAATGTGTGGTTGCCTCTCGCACACCCCCTGCTAGGGACCTGGCCTGCAACCCAGGCATGTGCCCTGAACTGGATATCGAACCGGCGACCCTTTAGTTCACAGGCTGGTGCTCAATCCACTGAGCCACACCAGCCAAGGCATGCTTTAAAAGATTTTTAACAGAAAATTTAAAAAGACTATGCCCAATTAAACATAAAAAAAATTCCATTAAAACACCAATTATATGAAAACTGAAAAACAGACAACAGCTTGAAATGATTAGCAGTATAAAAATATACTGATTTTAAAGTATAAAATATAAATTTATATATAAAATATCTCAAGTTCAACATGTATTTGATTCTTCACAAAGAAACAAAAAGAATTCAATCTTGATTCTCATACGAATAAATTACGTCAGCATTTTCCCACAGAACTACAAATAAGCACATAAAACAAAACCACAGTTAAATGTTTCCTGTACTATCATAAGTAAAACCTGGCTAAGTTGCACACAGTTTGAAATATCAATAGGACTACTTAAATCAGTTAATTCTGAATACCAAGCCAAATGCATTTTGATCTATAGAGGGCTGTTGATAAGAAATGGTAAGCCAGCTTCACGAGCAAACGAAAGGGCATTTCATACACTTAACCATAAATTACATACTTAGATAAAGAAAAATGATAGGGTGCCTCTGTCAGTAGGCATTCACCACTATACATGTCTATAGGAAAGAGATGAATGGTTCAATTTCCCAATCATAGGGAGGGAAGAGGAACAATGACATTGCTACTGGGGAGGAATGGGAGGGAACGGTTTTTGTGTTTTCAGCAGTGCTAACACATGTTTGTTGAAAGAAATCAAAGTACACCCAAAATGTAGGATATATATTCTGAGTCAAACACCAGCCAGGGACCAAAACACTGTTTATCCATTTAATCAAATATTTTTTAGGAAAAGGTGGCTTGCCATATAGAAATTAAGGTTTATCTGGCTTCAGACTCACTCTTAACTACTGATCAATTTGGTAATCCTTGAAAGATTAGATACAATCTCAGCATCAGTTTTCTTATCTGTAAAATGATTTTATAATACTGTTCCTACATTGCAGATGTTTTAAGGATCAAAGATAATAATAATAAGAAAAACCTATCATAGGGCCTACGACTAAGATAGCAACAAATAAATGATGGTCATTATTATTATAATGATGGACTAGGCATTGTGAACATTTAAGTAGGTATCACAACCTAGTAGACAGGACATGCATGTAAGTAAGCAACTACAGCAATGAGCTGGTGAACAGTACGAAAAAAGGTCTACTGCAAATAGAAAAGAGAAAACAGTTAAGTCTGGCACTGTTGGGAAGTTTTCTAGAAAGGTTAATTTCTGAACCAAGCCCTGGAAAATGCATCTAAGAATCAAACATGGTGGGGAAAAGCCATGAAAGGTAAAGGTAATACCAAGTATCCAAAAACACAGAGGGAAGAAAAGGCATGACACAAATAATAATAGTTTAGCATGGATGCAGCAAGAAGTAAATGTGATGTGAAACTCTAATAGGTAAGGACAAAACAACCCAAATGCTCGTAAACAGATGGATAAACACCATGTGGCATATCCATACAATAGAATACGACTCAACACATGCTACCACAGAAATGACCTATTGGGAACATGATGCTCAATAAAATGTGCCACACACTGAAGGGCAAATATTGTACAATTCCACTAATATGAAGTATCAAGAAGAGGAAAATTCATAGAGACAGATAGTACATTAGAAGTTAGGGATGGTAGAGGCCGTGTAGCGTCATTGTTACTCTGAGGAAAGAACAGCAGAGGGGTTTAAATGCAGAGCAATAAAACCTATAACTTGGAGAAGCAAAACCATTCTCCAAGGAAGCATCATCATCACCACCATTCACAGAAGCAGCAGCAACCACCTCCACCAATACCTGCAAACAAATGGACAACAAGCCAGCAGCCAAAATGAAGGCTTGACTATTGACCTGATGAATTTTAGGAAACCAGGTGAGACCTTCACCCAATGTAGCCAGCTTTTTGTGGGCAATCTTTCTCCTGACATCACTGAGAAAGAAATGAGGAAGCTGTTTGAGAAATATGGGAAGGCAGGCAAAGTCTTCATTCATAAGGATCCACTTGGAAATAAGAACCCTACTGGAGATTGCTAAAGTGGAGATGGACAACATGCCAGTCCGTGGAAAGCAGCTGTGTGTGCACTTTGCCTGCCGTAGCGCATGCATTCCTTACAGTTAGAAACATTCCTCAGAATGTTCAATGAACTGCTGGAGGAAGCCCTTTCTGTGTTCGGCCAGGTAGAGAGGGCCATAGTCATTGTGGATGATCAAGGAAGGCCTTCAGGAAAGGCCATGATTGAATTCTCAGGGAAGCCAGTTGCTTGGAAAGCTCTGGACAGATGCAGTACAGGCTTCTTCCTGCTAACTACATTTCCTCAGCCTGTGACTGTGGAGCCCATGGGTCACGTAAATGATGAAGAGGGACTTCCAGAGAAGCTGGTTATAAGGAACCAGCAATTTCACAAGGAGTGGGAGCAGCCACCTAGATTTGCACAGCCTGGCTTCTTTGAGTATGAGTATGTCATGCGCTGGAAGGCACTCCTGAGATGGAGAAACAGCAGCAGGACCAAGTGGACCGCAACATCACGGAAGCTAGCGAGAAACTGAAATGCAGATGGAGGCTGCTTGTCATGAGCACCAGGTCATGCTACTGAGGCAGGATCTGATGAGGCATCAGGAACTTTGGAGGATGGAAGAGCTGCACAACCAAG